GCCTCCCATGTCACTGGCACTACAGGCATGTGCCATGACACTATAGGTGTGCACTACTATGCCCAGCACTAGCATATAATAACATCTACTCTAAATTATCAAGAGTAGCCTTATTTATAGTAATTACAACCATATAAAGTTCATTGATAAATTTATTTTTCTCTCTCTAATCCTGTCATTGGCCATTAAGCATTACTATATTACTAAAGTCTTCTATGACTTAAGCCTTCTTCATGTTTCCATGAAGTCTCAAGTCTTCAAGTCTTCTCAGTAATGACATATTTTTTAGTTAAAAGATGTTAACATTCCTCAGCATTAATGTGTGTGTGTGTGTGTGTGTGTGAATGTGTCTGTTTCAGTTAATAGGCATAGTTTAACAGAGAACTGTGTTTTTTAAATATCAAAAATCTGATTCAACCCACAATTTCTCAACCCATGTTAAAACTTGAGATTAAAAACTCCATAAGCTTCATTGTACCCTGGGTGTATTCCTAAATCTTATATCAAATTTACTACATTCCCTTTTTAATCCATGCACATAGATTAAAAAGAGAGACAGAGACATAGAACCTGACCTCTTTTATAGGAAAAGTAAAGAATCTTCTATGCAGAAATTATGAATGGTCTCCATGGAGACCTCACTTATCATTTTTCTCTTTTTTCAAATAATGTCAGAACAGGATATTGACAGAAAAAAAGTTAGGTGGTTCCAGGAGATATGGCCTGTCAGTACATAGGTCACCAAGAAAGTGTTTTGAGTATGAAAAGAGAAGAGAGACAGGAACAGAGTCCTCCATAATCTGAATGTCTAAGCCAGGTCTATAGGTCTTGGGAATAAAAATTATTATGGTACAAGAAATTGATTCTTACGTCAGTCTCATGAGACAGAATCATCCTATGTTCTTGGTGTAATGGACATGATGGTGAAAAAAAAAAAAAGACAAGGATAATAGGGAGGAGGACCTCTCGGAAAAAAAAAAAAGTTATCATGGCTAGATGATGATCAATTCATGGTGATAATGAGTTTCTGTGTTGTCCCTCAACTCATCATTATGTGGGGTAAAGCCACTAAAAGGTAGGTCTCCGGTTGGGCTCAGTGGTGCATGCCTGTAATCCCAGCAGTTCAGGAGGCCGAGGAAGGAGGATTGCGAGTTCAAAGCCAGCCTCAGCAAAAGTGAGGTGCTAAGCAAGTCAGTGAGACCCTATTTGTAAAAATAAAATACAAAATAGGGCTGGGGATGTAGCTCAGTGGGTGGAGTGTCCCTGAGTTCAATTCCTGGTACCAAAAAACAAAATAAATAAATACATCAAAGGCAGGTCTCCTTGCCTTTAGAGAGCAGGGAACTTAGAAATTTGAATAGTGATATTTTCAATGGATATCTACATTTCTATGAGTCTGAAAAATATATTGCAGGGCAGATAAAATGAGGCAGAGACAGGAAAAAAAAAATAGATGTAAAAGAAAGAGAAGTTTTCCAAACAAAGTTGACTTAAAGTTCATTAAAACATTCATGGTATGGGATATTATTTAGTGCTAAAATGAAATGAGTCAAGAAACGATATGCAAAATATTAAATGTGTACTACTAAGTGAAAGAAGTCAATCTAAAGAGCTATTTGATGTGATTCTAACAATATGTCATTCTGGAGAAGGTAAAACTATGAGGGGAGTAAAAATGTCAGTGGAAATTTTGTGTTGGAGGGAATAAGTAGGTGGGATGCAAAGGATTTTCAGGGCACTGATATTATTCAGTATGATACTGTAATGGTTCATACCTTGTAAAATCCACAGATTTAGATAAAACACCAAGAGAGAAACCTAATATAAACAATGGACACTGGATGATAATGACGTGTTCATATGGGTTCATAAATTATAACAAATGTAGCACTTTGGTGAGGGATGTTGATAATAGGAGAGGCTATGATAGTGGGAGGTATGTGGGAAATCTCTGACATTCCACATAATTTTGCTGTGAAAACCTAAAATTAATCTCTAAAGACTTTTAAAACTTCATGCTTTCAGGAAGCAAATGATAGTTCTTTTTACATGTACAGTAAAAGATGAGGACCTAGCTAAGACAGTCATTCAAAAGAAAAGATTTATTAATTCTTCTACATATTATATACAAGGGGCATAAAGTTTTAATTTGTATTTTAGTTTGATAAGTTTTCTTACTTTAAAATTAGATATTTCATTGAAAGACAATTTTCCATAAGTTTCTTGCATTTCTAAATATCTCACATAAAAACTCACAGCTTTTCTTGTGAACTATTGTTTAAAATAATTTAAAAAGCAAACAGCATTAGTCATGATATACAATAATGTATATTTAAATGTAAATTGATGGTATTTTATTGAGTATTTTTGTATCTGTGTTCATCAAGAATGGATCTGAATTTTTCTTTCCTTGATATGCCCTTGTCTGGTTTTGGTGTCAGGGTGATACTAGCTCCATAGAATGAATTTGGGAGTGTTCCCTTATTTTTTACTTCATGCACTAATTTGAGGAAGATTATCATTAGTTTTTCTTTAATTGGTTAATCAGCTGAGAATTTATCAGGGTTCTATGCTTTTCTGTGTGGGAAAGTTTTTATTACTGCCTCAATCTCCTTGCTTGATATTGGTCAGTTTAGGTCTTTTTATATTCTCTTGGTTGTAATTCAGATAGTCCAGAAATTTGTCAATATATTTTAGATTTTCGAATTTATTTGAATATGTTTTCAAAATAGTCCCTAATGATCCTCTGGACTGTATACCATAATCAAGGAGGTTTTATTCTAAGAATGCAAAGTTGGTTCAACATATGCAAATCAATAAATGTAATTCATCAAATAAGTAAAATTATGGACAAAATCACATGATCATTTAAATAGTTTCAGAAAAACTCTTCAACTGTATCTTGCACCCATTCTTGATAAAAAAAAATAAACTGAAAAAGCCATATAATATTATTCAATACAGTACTCGAAGCTATAGCCAAAGCAATTTAGGCAAGAGAAGGAAATTAAAAGGTTACAAATAGGAAAAGAAGAAATCGAATTATCTGTTTTGGGATAACAATCAATTTCCTGTGCATCAATAATGAGAAAGAAATTAGGAAAACTATTCCATTCATAGTAATATTAAAGAAAAAAACTGTAAAAAATATACCCAAGGTAGTAAAAGATGGCTATGATGAAAATTAAAAAACACTGAAGAAAGAAACTGAAGAAAACCTCAGAAGGTGGAAAGATGCCATTTGTGTCTATTCTTGGGATAGACACAAATAATATTGTTCAAAAGATGATACTTCCAAGAATAATCTACAAATGTTACCCAATACCCATCAAAATACTAATGACATTCTTCACAGAACTAGAACAAACATTACTAACATTCATATGAAAGGATAAAAGACCCAGCATAGCCAAAGCAGTCTTCAACAGAAAGATTGATATTGGAGGTATCACAAAACCTAATCTAAAATTATAATGTGGAACTAAAGTAAAAATCACATTGTCATATTAGTATGAAAACAGACATGAAGATGAGTGGAATGGAAGTAGAAGACACAGAGACAAACCCACATGGAAAAATTCATCTATTCTAGACCAAGTTTTCTCCAAACTTTGGAGAAAATATAGCCTTCTTAACAGAAGGTGCTGGGAAAACTGGGTATCCATTTATAGAAGAATAAAACTAGATCATCTCTCTTACCCTCAAAAAAAAAAAAAATCAAAAATCAACTCAAAGTAGGTCAAAGACCTAAGAAGTAGACTAAACTCTGCAACTGCTCAAAAAATAATAATAATAAAGTCAACATTCTAACATATGATACAGGCACTGACTTCCTTAATGAGAATCCTAAATTTCAAGAAATAAAACGAATAATCAATAAATGGAATGGCATCAAATTAAAAAATATCTACACAGCAAAGGAAATATTTAATAGCATAAAGAGACAGCCTACAGAATGAGGAAAAATCTTTGCCTATAACCATTCTGACAGGGGATTAATGTACAATATACAGAACTCAAAAATATAACACCAGAAAAACAACCTAATAAACAAATGGACAAATGATTGAAATAGACATTTATCAAAAGAAGAAATACAAATGGACAACAGATATTTAAATAAAATATTCAATATCCTTGGCAATCAGGGAAAAGCAGATCAAAAATACACTGAGATTTCATCTCACTTCATTTAGAATGGCAATCATTAGGAATACAAATAATAATGATTGCTGTAAGCATGTGGTGAGACTGTAATTAATACAACCACTTAAACATTGTTTGGTGGGACTGGAAATTAATACAACCATTTTAGAAAGCATATGGCAACAGTAGGAATGGAATCACTATATGACCCCCTATCTCATTCCTTGGAATTTATTTGAAAAATCAATAAATAATGTAAACATATTATAGTGATATATAAACAATATTTATAGCGGCACAATTAAAAGTAGCCAAGTTATGGAATGAGTGTAGGTGCTCTTAAACAGATGATCTCGTTTTATTCTTATATAAATGGATACCCAGTTTCCCCAGCACCTTTAACAGATGAATGGGTAAAGAAAATGTGTTATATATACACAATGGAGTTTTATTTAGCCATAAAAAAAAATCTCATTTGCTGCTGAGTGGGTAGAACTGCAGAATACCTTGCTAAGTGAAAAAAGATAGACTCAGAAAGTTAAGAGTCAAAAGTATTCACTCACATATGGAAGCTGGAGAGAATTTTAAAAAGGAATAAAAATTGATTTCATGAAGTAGAAGGGAGATCAACAGAGTAGAAATAAGGGGATTGAGACGAAGGGAAGATGGGAAGGAATGGAGAGTTCTGAGGCACGAAATCTACCCTACTATGCTATGTTCATGTAGGACTATAATTATAATGCACTAAATAATAATAATAGGAGGAGGAGGTGCAGGATCAGTAGAGTAGTGCAAGTGGATCAGGGATAGGCAGAAATATAAGAAAAGGGAATGTGATGGGGAAAGGGATTGATCAAATTGTTATGTGCATGTATGAATATGGCATGATTTCCACCATTATATACAATTATAATGCACCAATAAGAAAATATAAAATAAATTAAATACCTTAAAAAGAGAGCATGGGAAAACATTTTAAAGAAAAATACAGTATTTTTCAAGTATGTATATAGAAATATACTTAGTCTGAATTTTCAGATTTATTCATGTTTAATTAGAAGATATTATTATTTTAACTATATACTGGTACTTTAAAATTATTGATCTTTAATTTTTTTTTTTTGAAGGATGGATGGGTTTGTTTGTCGCCCATAATAAAACATTAGACTCCCTTAAACTTGGGGTTCTTCAGCTGTGACACAAACCTGATGCATGTATAGCATTTGTATGGTCTACTTTATGTCATCCAGAATGGGACTTGACAATCAAGTAAAATTTATGTTAATGTGAAGTTTTCTGTTTCTTGCTATGCTATCATTAATAAAGATATTCCTGACTCAGTATCCCCATCACCATGGCAGGCAAACTTATTAGCTTGCAGGTCAGAGAAAAATCTTAGACCTTTCCAGACATTTCTAGCAGGATATATCACAAAACATAATCAGAGCCCTGAAAACAGTTAACTTACCTATAAAATGTGTTTTGAGCAGGCTCTTGGCATGGTAGGATGTAACCACCTCTAACATGTAGATTTATTTTATCCCAGTCAGTTGGAAATGTACTATTTTTTCCTCTGAAACCTATATCTTCACCCTGGAAATGAAAGAGATGAAAAGAATAACAAGAGAAATAAGAAATAGATCATCAGCAGTTTTGTACTTGAGGGCATACATTTATAAACCCAAATGATATGCTTTCCAGTTTAAAAATTAACAAAACTGTTTATTCAAGGAATCATGTTGTTTAAAGCATACCCATAGTTCTTAGTTAAATAGGGTCCTCTATAATAACTCTGAAAGTAATTTATAGCTATTTGTTTTTGTGAAGCTTATGTGCAGAACACATATGAATTCTGAAAGGTCACAAAAGCTATTTCTGACTTTCCATGTACATGATCCCTGGAAGGATCTCATTACCTTTAATGATTGTTTATCATAACCAATGAAAGGACAAGACCTTACTTCAAGTAATGTTCAATTTTCATGTTTATTTGCAGAAAGAAATCAATGACTACTTAACAAATTAGAGCAGAAAAAATTTACCCTCCTTCACTGTGTGTTAATTTGATTCAGATATAGTTAGCAAGACAAATGTTATTCTTTTAAAGAGGAAAGTGAACACACTTCATTGGTTACATCAATGCAACTCTATGCATATATCTTTAGTCAATTCCCCTGAGTTTTTAAATACTTACAGTATAGTAGTTAAACCACCGAGCATTAGGGATATAGCCTTCTACAGTGTCATCCTGGAATTTAAAGTAAAGATATAATCATTAAAAACATATAAAATTAACTAAAAAAAAATTTTTTTTAAACAAAACATGTGGTGGAACTTACAGGATCCAACACAGGGGTGACCAAAAATGCTGGACCCCACAAGAATTGCTTGTATATATCCCAAGTTGGCTTTTCCTCAAAGAACCTTGACAAAAATAATTACAAGTAATTAAAGTAAGTGAAATTATCTTATCTCTACTGAATACCATGAAATGTTTATTCAAATCATGTTTTTTACAGCAGACTTTAGTGGATTAAAATGAAAAACAAAGTATAAAAACATTAGAGATAATTCCAACAATTGGAATTCAAAGTTATCTCAACTATCACTAAATATCCTTACATAATGCAGAAAATGTGATGGAATGTAAGACCAACCAGATGAGAAACCACCTTGGAGGAGAAGTCTCACAGGTAGAAATATTAACTTTTCCTAGAATATAATAAAAAATAGGAAGCAACATTGATAACACCCTGGTAAAGAACCATAAAACAAACTTGGGCTGTAAAGATGGTGACTTGGAAATTTTGAAACCCCCATGATTCCTTATCTCAATTTAAATCAAAATTTGTGTATCCTACTTACACTAGAGCTCTCTCAAAGTGTTTTAAAATTCTTAAAGATTCTTTTATGTCTCAGTGGATATCTGCCTTTGAGATATAAATGGCCATAAAATACAGGGTCTATCTTACATGCTGAGAATAGCCCTTATTAATTGTTAACACTTCTATTGCATTCCTCATTGGATTGTGTTTGGTTTTTTTTTTTTGTAATATTCACATCAAGAATCAGAATTTGCCTTAAAAATTAGAACAAGCAAAAATGTTTGCAACAATGCTCTATGATGAAAAAGAATTTTTCAAGATTTGTCATATATCAAATTGAGGTTTAAGGGGTAAATCTAAAACATATTTCTTAGGAGAATGTTTAAGGTATTCTAGGGTACCCAGTCAGTATATCTCCTGGAAGAATTGGTATGCTATTTAGTCAGGCATATTTGGTGGACTTAATTATATGCATTAAAACTCAATTAATTAAATAGCTACTTTTCTCCAAGAAATTCTGAATATATGCAATGTAATTCTGCATGCAAAACATTTAGAATAATGCCCATTATACAGTAGTTATTTTAAAACCAAAATAATTTACGTGTTTCATTTATTTCTGACTCATACTACTCTATTAGTAGATGTATTTATAAAAATGTTTTATTAACCCAAAATGCCTGATTATCATAACAGCAAAAAAGTTTCCTATAAGATTATTCATTAAATTAAATTAAAGTTATCTCTTTGTAGTAGGAAAAAAACAAATTTTACACTTACTCATGCAAAAGGGGTCGGATAACAGTGCCACCATGAACATGAACTTCATGCATTTGTGTATAAAAATAGGGCAATAAAGTATATCTAATTTCTAGAATACGCTTTGACATTGCAGCAAAAGTTTCATTCCAAGAAACAGGATCTTGTCTCTGAAACAAAGCAAAGTGAAACCATCATGATTCCTTATCTCTGTTTAAATCAAAATATTCAAATATATATTTGAACAATAAAAGTAGAAAATTACATTAATTCACTTTCTCCCCAAAATCTTATGCAATATTTTTATCTTATATAATAAAGGGATATGGCATAATATTCATATTTAAATAAGAAAAGTGCAAATTAAAATTACACTTGATTTATTTTAGAGGAACATAGTTTAGAGGAACATACACAAAGAGTAATTCACATTTTAATAGGTGACAACAAATATGTTGTCAATTAATGATTGTCATTCTATTCAAAATTCTAAGGTTCACTAAAGAAAAGAATTGGAAGTGAATGTAATAAGAACATACTCTAGTAAATGCAATGTTGTGATTTCTTGAGTATGGATAAAATGCTCCAAGTTGCATCCAGCGGGCACAGAGATGATATTCAGAATTGTTGAAGAAACCACAGATGTCTGCTCCAATCTAAAAGATATTGTTATATATAATTTATTTTGAATAGTTGGTGTTTTTTAAAATATTTTCAGCTTTTGAAAATAAGAGAATAGATCTACTTACATATGATATTCCAAAGAGACTAAATTCCATCATACCTAAAAATTAGGAGAATAAATCTTAGAAAATTATTTTTATGTTTTAATATTTTCCTCATATTAATGAAGACACTCTTTAATGTCAGTCTCCAGTTAAATGAATCTTTTTCAGATTATAAATATATTTTTCATTCTTATAATATTCTTGCTTTTTTGACTATGTAATACAAATGATGTTTAGAAATGGACATTATGAACTTCCATATTTGCAAGGACATTCAGAGTACAAATCTTTTATGAAGACATTATAGAGAAAAAAGAAAATATTAGTGGTTTTGATTTTTTAAAGTTTCCAGTTTCATTTTTTAAATTAAAAAGGATGTTTCTGCAATTATTTCACTGTAAGTTTCATCCATTAAAATAAAATGAATTATCTTTATTAAATAAAATCTCTAAGAAGTGATCACTGAAACAAAATAGAACACATATGTTTCCCCAGATATTTGTTCAAGAAATATTTCTAAACACTGTTTCCTTGAATCTATGATTAATGAAGAAACATACAATGAAATGTCCAATTTACCAGTTATCTGAATATTGTTCAAATTTTCTTTCAAAATTTAGTTTGACATATTTCATTCTTGAGCATCTTTCAGTGGTTCTTATGCCTAGAATCTAGCAGTTCAACCCATTTCTTTATTAGTTCTAGATACTCTTTCCCAGCTCCTGCCTTTTCAACCAAGAAACTTAAGACCAAAAAGGATGAAATTTATTTTCTCAAAATAAGCTACCTGGTGTCATTAATTTCTACATAGCAAACTTGATTCTGTTTCTTGGACTACTGCCCTTTCATGATGCTCTGTGTCATCACATTTGATGCCCAAAGCATAATCCTAAGGATTTGAAAAGTCTATGAATTATCACCATCAAAGGTGAACACAATTAAAAAAAAAAAAGATAAAGATGCAGATTAGCTCATACCTATGATGGATTTGTCCAAATTGTCCCATTGTGCATAGTTGTCTCCAAGCCAGTGTCCCCCCCATCTTCCACCAGTAGGATACGTGGAACGTGAAATAACAATCCCTCTTTTACCAGTGGTCTTCTGCACTGCACTAATACAAAGGAAAAAAAGATTTTAATTGTTATCATAAGGCATTTTCTTCAAACATTTTTATTTATGAGAACTTTATGGAATATATGTATTGAGTTATGAAGTTTATGTTGTCTTCTACTACAACTAACTCTTAGCTTTCTCTCACTCTACGGTGAAATCCTCACAGGTATGAAGGACTTTTGTTTTGTTTTGTTTTTTTAGTATGGTAGTGAGCAGGGTGGGGAGGGCAGTTGCTGGGGATCAAAACCAAGGCCTTATGCATGCAATGCAAATTCTCTAACACTGAGCCCCAGTCAGTGGTTTCTTCCCTTCCAACATTTACAATATTGAAATGCAGATATTCAGTGGACTTTGTATATTTTTTCTGTGAAAGAAAATTAACTAATACCTAAATCCACTATTTACTTAAACAGAACACTTTTATTCTATTTCAATGTGTTATTTTTAATAAATTTCTAGGCTCTAATTATTGAAAAACTCCCACTCTTCTCAATCATAGTTTTTCAATATTTAATATACAAATTACTCTGCAGAAAATCCCTGCTAAAATGTTCTGTTTTAGAGGGTAGTTGAAAGAGAGCAAGGTTTTAATAGGTTAAAAAAAATTCCTTCCAATTTTAAGCATAGAATCTGTCTAATCAATAAAATGAGTACAAATGAGTTAATATTGATTTTTCTTTTCTCCCCTCCTCAGTCTTCAGAGAGGGACTTTTAACAGCATGCATTTTAAAACAGTTTAAATTTAAGAATAAAGCACTATTTTTCATTATCTGCATGTTTCCCCTTTTTTCAGCTCTAAATGTAGAACATTTCATTACAAAAGTATGAAAATAGGAAACAATTCACTCTCAAATTAGTTTAAATAAATATTATACTGTATTACTCAAAAATCAGTTTTTCAGTAAAAGCCACAGAAATATTTCAGGAGAATATACCTCAAATACCTAATTAAACAAATTTTATCATAGACTAATTTTGTCATCAGTATTGAATAATTTGATTGTCACAGCATGGATCACAGTATTTGTTATGATTTGTTTGTACATAACACTTCTTGAATGAAACTGAAATTTCTGCTGGCAAGCATTATGCTTTAGTATCTCTTGCACTTACTATAGCATTTGCCATGTAGAGGTAGCTCAAGAAATTTTTGAATTAATAAATTTATTATACCAAAAGTACAGGAAACTCAAAATATATTAAACAGACATGAGATGATATATGAGGTATCTTTTGATAAAAGACACAATATCATATAATATTTACTGATACAAATGTTATGTCCCAGTTTAAGTAGATGATATAAGGGAACCATTTTCATTGCTTTATCTTCGTATAACAAATAAAATGGGTCCAGTTTAGGAAAATTAATATTTGTATTATTTATATATATGTTTGTTGGCATTTAATAGGAGATAATTGTGTGTGTGTGTGTGTTTGTGTGTGTGTGTGTGTGTGTGTGTGTGTGTGTATATATATATATATATATATATATATATATATATATATATATATTTAAAGAACAATATATAATCAAACTAAATTTCCAGATGAAATATATGTTCTGAGTTACTTAATCCCCCCCCAAATTTTATTTCATTTAACTAATGTAAAGAAATTTATATAAGGGAAGGATTTTCCAAATTCTTTAATGTATTCACATGCAAGGAATACATTTTCCTGAAGAATTTCTTCTCTTATATCTGCTGAATGTATTACTTTGGCAAAAAAAAAAATTATCTAATGCCGCTTTAAATTAATAACTGAATAAATTCCTTCTCAAATAACCGATTAAGAAGGATTCTACTTTAAAAGTTGTCACAATAATTATCTCCTAAAGGAAATCTAGACTCTTACACTAGACAAATCTCTTTGTAACATGTAATATAAAATATTTATTTGAAAAGTCACTTGATACTTTTAAAGACATCCATTCCCATCACTATAAATATATTTTAATTATTCCCAACAGTGTTCCAACATTAAGAATAATTTAGTCACAAGCAAAAAAGCTTTATTAATTTTTCAAGAATAAGTTTTCAACCACACCATAATTTGTATTCTTATCAATTGAATAGAAATAATTTCAGCCTATAGAAAGAATTTTAATTCTGTTATACATGTATTTTTGTTATGGTTTGTTAATGCATATTTTAGCACATTTTTAAAAAGCATTAGTAAAACTGTAAAAATATTTTCAATTATTAGAGAAAAATTTGTTCTAAAAGAAAAATAATGACTTTTAGAAAACTATACATATATTACAAAAAATTGGAGATGCTAAGCAAATATTAAATTGAAAAATTTAAATATATTTTGAAGCTTTCAACAATAAATATCTTACATCTGTTAGAATCATGATTTCTAGAGTTAATAATATCAAATTAATCACTTGACTATTGTTTTTAATTATTAATTTAATTAATTTATACATATACTCCAAGCATTCATTATTGAGTGCTATTAAGTTCTTTTAGAATATAAGCTAGGGTCACTCAGAGAAAAGAAAATTATTATGGATTGTTTCTTCAATTTTATAAATCAAAAATTCTCTTTGGAATTAAGATACTTTATTGGCTTTTTGGATTATTTTTTAAAAATATTAACAATTAGTATTATATATTTAGAATCCATTAAAAATAGAAACTTGCTGTATTCTTATCAAACATTCAGCATTATTAGATCATAAGATTTTGTTTTGAAATTTTAGTTTTGAAATTTGTTAATAAGTATGTTTCATGCTAAAAAATTTCTTTGAGTTCTATCATGTACAAATTTAAAACTTCCTTTATTGAGAAAATAATGTGAAATTTTTTATGGATTCATTCCTTATATTTTTAAGTCATTTTCAACTCAACTATAGTATTAAGAAAATTATGTGCTCAGAGATGTGTTCAGTATCTGCTTAGGTGAGTAACAACTAATAATTTAAAAGTTTAACCAAAAGAACTTCCAAATCAGTGAAAAGGTAACATCTGATGGTTCTTTTTACCTACACAAGTCTTTTCCTATAAAAAACAAACAAAAACCAAACTGGATTTTTCTTACTATCTTCATGTATGAACTACTTAGAAATTTACCTACTTCTACCTTGAACATTTTTACACAATTTTGATAGTCCTAGAGGGATAATGATATAGTCATTTAAATTTCCTAAGCATACAGAATATGTCAGAAATCATACTAGACAATGTAATATATTGGAGAAGTTTAATTTACTATCCTTAATATAGAAAAATGTTTTTTGATTTATCTTAAACTGCATATTTTCATATTAAATTCATAATTTTTGTTAAGGAGATCATCAATCAATTCTTAATTTTTTAAATATCTATAGTTTCAACTAAAGTGATGTTGGTTGATAGTAATTGTGTCAGTAGGGCTAATGAAAGTAACATTTTTTCCAGTAAAAGGGCATTTTGAAACCAGTTTGTTCACTCTTAATTTAACTTAGAGACTTTATTTGGGAATGTAGTGGGTAAGTAAGGCAAGCAGGTATTACCAAGTGAGTGATTTTATTCATACTTTTAAATTCAAAATATTTTTTATTCTTTTACTAACATCAGTCATATACTAGAATAGTTATTTTCAAAGCTGATGCCCATTAGAATCATCTTGGGACTTGTTAAAATATAGGTGCTTTGACTATAGAAGAGATTAAATAAATCATTATTTGTTAAAAATCTCCAGGTGGCTAAAATGTGTAGTCAAGAGCCAGTAACCCATAGCTATACTGTCTTCTAATATGGTGACTACGAGGCACCTATTATTTTACATTTTATTAAGTATTATTTAATGAAATTTAAGTAAACTTAAAAATTCTGTTCCTTAGTAACACTAGTCACATTGCTCAACAGCCAAACATGAATAGTGGATACCACAATGGGTACCCAGAAATCTAAAACATTTCTATCAATCTGAGGAAGTTTTATTGAACAGGGTTAATAGAGACTTGATACTCAGAGAATTGTAAATTTATTGATCCTGCATAGAAGTTTTTTAAAATTGCAGATGAGTCATGTAAGCATTAAAACTTAGATGTTAAAAATCAGTAAGATATGTCTAGTTTGCTAATAATGGACTTAAATAAATTTAACCAAGATTTAATGTTATGGTTAGTGTCATTAAATTATGTTATTTACTCATTTATTCATTCAACACTATTTTTTGAGAACCTTTTATTTGTAGGCATTGTGCTAGGTTTATGGTGGGGAAACAAAATTAAAATAGTCTAGAATTCTTTAAGGAACAAGTTGAAAGTTAAAAGCAATGGCAACAGAGATGATAGTAGAGAGGTATATAGGTAGATATGTGTATACATACATAGAAACACATTTTATCTGAGTTTTATCAAGAAAGAAATAAGTTACATAGAATAATTGGGAAGGAAAGGACTACCACAGATAGTCCCCAAAACTATTAAAGTAGGTAGCATTAATGTTAAGATCTGAAAGATTTAAAAAGAGATAAAAAGAGACAGAATAATAACAAACATTGCTTACTCATATGTAGGTTTCATTTGTGACCATCCATATAGATTGTGAACATCATAATGTAAAACTGGTGATCCATCACTAAGAATTTGTTCAGTTTCCATGCACATAGTTCTAAAATGTAATCCCTCTGTTCTTTTTGTAAGTTCTGAGGAAAATTAATGAAAAAAGTTAATATGTTATAGTGTCCAGTATTAAAATATTTGGCTCAGAACTATACATATTTTATTTTTAATGTTTTAATTGAATGTCTGATTGACACAGCATTATATATATTTATAAAGTATAATGTGGTGTTTTGATTAATGTGTGTATTGAGTAGTGATCAACTCAGGTTAATTAACATATCCATCACCTTAAATTTTTATCATTTCCTATGGTGAGTACATTTAAATTCCTCTCTTTAGTATTTTGAAGTATAAAATACATTGTTGTTAATTATATTCATCTTATTGTGACACAGAACATCAGAAATTATTCTATCAAATAATAACATAATATCCACTTATATATTCTTTTGGCAAAAAATTAATCATTTTAAAATAATTATTGATCATTTAACAATATGCATGCTTTATGCTAATTTTAAATGAATAAACTGTAATGATAAGTGAGTTATATGAATTAATAAAAATATAAAAAGTAAGTTCAATCCTAATGGCTACTATTTTTGAGGAACTTTTGTGGAAAATGCTGATAAAATAAAGTTTTATTAAAAATATATTCAGTAATATAAAAGACTGTAGTAAAGTGCTGCACAAATGAAATTGTACTTTTGATCCATATTTTCTCAGAATACGTTGTCTTTTTTCAGACTTTTGCAGTCACTTTATATGTATTAAACTAGAACAGGAACAGAGAAATAATACTTTTCCATTTTTCTCTAGTTTAAAAAAATATTTAAGTATTTCTATTCTTCATTTCAAAGATTATTTAATTTTTTTACATCTGGAATGATTCTTAAGAAAACCAAAGTAAAAATTTCACACAATTTAAGAATTATGTCCAAAGTAAAAATTTCAAACAATTTAAGAGTCATGTTCATATAAATAAAACACATATGCAGGCTGTGGGTGGGCAGTGAAAAATAAGGATATGGATTCTGTTTTCTGCATCCTAAGGTATACATAAACTGCTTAGTAAAAAACAATAATATTGTACCTGGAAAATAAGGTGGATAATTTAGATCTTTATTTCTGCATTGATTGGTAGTTGTTCCATGTACAAAACTTGATGGCTCATTCATATCCTTAAAGAGAGTGATTTAAAAAGATTTAAAAAATAAATTTAGAATATATATTCTGAAAAGAACAATATTACAGAGCAAGTAAACTTAAAAAAGTTTTGAACTCTTAGACTTACTTAGTATTCTAAAAAATAAAATTATAAAGCTTCTCAATGACACTGAGAAATTTAGTTTAGCTCAATGTTTCCTAACTTTTTTATGATATAAGCCTCCTTTTGAGAAACATAAATGTCATATTTCCCCAGTATTGTATATTATATGCATAAAAGTAAACTGATTTTTATATTTCCAAGACATAAATTAAACTATTATAGTATCTGTCTTACCCCCCCTCCTTCCCTTACACTGCTGCATTGAGCCTAATATAAACCACTTTCACTTTTAGAACCACAAGATGTAATTTAAAGATATAGAAAAGTTCAATGAATATCTCTGTTGAACACATATCTGAGTCTCTGTAACCACATACAAATGGACCATAATCTTAATATAAGAATTAGCTATTATTTAAAGGTTGATTTTCTCCATCTGAAAACAAGTCTTTTTCCCTGGATCATATTATCTTCAGGGATATACTTAGAATTTCTTTTACTTTATAAATTTGTATATAAAGTATATCTGTTTCCATTACTTTAAAAAAATGCTTTATATAATTTTATATCCTTCAGGTAGACACACAGCAAAACTTCTATAAAGCTGTCTTTAAAAAATAAATTTAATATACTCATGTGGATAACCCAACAAAGTAAGAAATGTCACTTCCAGGTATCAAGAGAAACATTATGTATTGCCGCAGTCTCGGGGGATGACAAGCAACTTGTGAAGGTTGATACAGCAGGAGCCGCTTTATTGTAGGACAGCAGAGGTATTTATAACTAACTAATTATACACAGCTTGTTTCAATTAACATCATCTAGATACATCAATTAGTAATTACACACAGCTTAACTTAATTAACACCATCTAGATACAGCAGTCAGTCATTAAGGAATCTCCATCATCTTAATGGCTCCCTGGCGTTACTTCTCAAATCACTCTTCCTGGCAAAGTACCAGGCGCCATCTTGACTTGTCTGTGGCCCTCAACAATGTATAATCTCTTGTATTAAATATTTACTTGTAGTAAAGTAAATCTTTTTTTTTATCTAAAATTAGATTGCTGAAAATATTAGCAGTAAGATTTTTAAGTTTCATATAAAGTAAGGAAATTGTATAAAAGACAGTGTTGCTACAAAAATTATTTTATTATATATGAATTATTATTTCTTAACACTGACAGTTGAGGTTGAGAATTATTAGTACATTAAATAAAAATAAATGTTTATATATATTTATTAATAGTTAGAAAAACAGGTTATTTTGGTTCTTTGCTCAAGTTGGAAAAGTCTTATAAATAACTTCCTTAGACATATATTGAATTATGTAAAACTGTATTTTAGTAGTCCTTTGATTAAGAAAGTCCCATAGGAGAAAATGTGAGTGAGTAAATTTTCACAAAAAGTGTTTTGTTGACATTATTAAAGTGTCAGAGAGATTTGTACAATTACTCCACAATAAATAACTGAAAAGATAAATTGTTTAAAGCTTACTCACAATCCACAAGCCATCAAACTTCATCTGGTCATTGTAGAAATCTAAAATTTCCCTTGTCCACCACTCTGCTGTGGAGTTCCTGAGGAAATCTGGAAAAGCTACATGAGCTCTGGAAGCCTGCAAAACCAAAATTCAGATTCACATGTAGAAATTCATATGGAATTCATAAATGTCTGAATCAAAAATGTATGCCCAATCCACAAGTCATGCTATGAGTAATATGAAGGAAATCAGATCTCAACTTTAATTACATAAACGTATGCAATTTTTTTCAAATGACACAAGCAGTTGCAGGTGGTTAAAGGAGATTGCAACATATGTGGAGAGGGAGGAATATATTCAAATTTAATTATGGATCAAAATCATCATTAAGTCCAAATTCTGGATTTCTTTTGGTTATGTAATTAATCAACATAAAACTTACATTAACAGCTTCATCTTCAGTAATTGACTCATCTATAGTTACATTGGGCAAATCTGGCCAAACCTATAAGGGAGAAGAATTGTTCAGTATAATGGTTATGAGGCACAGAAAGAATGTATTATTTGTGATGCACAGAAAAAATGTTATCATTAGAAGCATATTGTTCTCAAGATTCCCATATGCATGCCATTCAATTATTTTCTTCAGTTTGTAGGGTTTTCTTTCTTAAATTTATATCTTGCAAACTATTCCTGTTTCCATATTAGTCTATCCTAATGATAAACATTAAGAAAGAGATGTCAACTTCTGTGATACTTAGTGATTTAGAAAACAACACATGTAAGCAATTGTTCTGGTTAAGAAATAATATGAAAAGCATACACCAACCTTGATTTAATGTGATATTGGAACTATTTCTAGAATTATTCCAGAATTGAAAACTAAAAACAGTATTTTTTTTTTTACTTGAAAAGAACTGATGATGTGATTTAATAATGTCGGGCAGAGTTGAGTAATCCTATTAATTTTCAATTGATACTTAATCTTTACCTCCTTTTGTCTCATCTCCCCTGCCTCACTGTCTACCAATGTTTTCTCCTTCTCTATTAAGAAATACATGACAGTCCCTAAATTCAATCATGCTGAAAGCTCTAGGAATTTGAATGTTGAAGAATCTAGAATGCTCCATATAAAAAATGTAAATACTTCCCCCTCAAAAACATAGTTATTTAAAAAAGATTAGATACTTCTAAGGAATAGTGCTCTAAAGCAATAAACAGGAGGGTAGAAGAAAGTAGAAAAGATCTTCCTTGATGGCCAATATATCAAACTATGTACTTGCAAGTTTCTTAATATTTTATTATTATTCATTAATTTTATTATAATATTTCATCTATATTTTGTTTTTACCTTTTTATTTTTGAATATTTTTAGACTTACAGAAAAACTGCAAAAATGTATCTAGGTTTCATGTACTTCCTTTATCTAGCTTTCCCTGATGTTAATATATTCTATAACCATATATAGTTATCAAAACCTAGCAATTAATGTTGATTAATACAATTGATTGATGTGTAGACTTTCCCCTCCTTTTGTCCCACCTCGCTATCTTTATCACTAATATCTTAGTTTTATTCCAAGACCTAGAAGAATTATGTTCCCATCATGGGTTTTTGTGGGTCTTATTAATGTAGATATTATTATCAGATTTTTTTTTCATGATTTATAGGAAAACCAAATTAAATTTTCTCTAAAATATTAATATACTCACATACGTATATTTTTATTTACAAAAAATTGAGCAAACAATATTCATTGATCAAATTAGTAACATAAGCATAGCTGTTTAATACAGCTTTAATTTTATTAATAAGATATTTTCTAAGAGAAGTACTCACATTGAAGTGGCTCTTTCAGCATAGAATAATGGACAGCCTTTCTAATCATGGTAGTTCCACAATAAAATACAAAATATAACAAGAAATATAATGAAATAACAATTTAAAAATAAGCCTGGGATTTGGTCTTATGAATTATATGTACTCTTTGTGTCTAATGAATTGGGTTGAACTCAAGAATGCATATATTAAACCCTTATATTTTTTGTTTATCTGTTTTTCTGAATATGCCTTTAATATGTAAATGGAAGATTTTAATGGAATAGCATTTTCATAATCATTCTATTTCAACATATTTAGTACCTTTGCCCAACAAATTTCACTGGTATTAGGCCATTTGACAAAGACATCTTTTTCCATTCCTCTTTCAAATGGAGGGTAGGGCTTTGTTTCATTTCCTGAAATTGCTGGATCCTAAAATTAAACATAAATAACATGAATGTGGAATAAAAGTATAGCTACCTGGAAGGTCACTGTGAAATATTATATTCTCCCATTATTATATTGGAATAAGACTGTGCTCTCCATGGACAAAGGGTAAAATCATCAGTGCTGTAACTAGATTGTCCTCTAAATTACTCAGAAGAAAACTTCTCAGAACTTTTTTTTTTAACACAATACCTTCATTTTATATATTTACTTTTATGTGTTGCTGAGGATCGATCCCAGTGCCTCACATGCACTAGATGAGCACTCTAGTGCTGTGCCACAACCCCAGCCCCACTCCTCAGAATTTTTGAATGTCCATTAGTAATTTGTCAAGCAAAAAGTACTTTTTGTCTTGCTTTTGTTTCTCTGGTGGAGATTCCTGGATCCTTAGCCTGCTCCCTATAAGACATTGATAAAATACTAAAGTATTACTAAGCTGATGGCATTTTAAATGTGAAAAGCTTCAGAAGCAATCCCAGAAAATTTTTTGAAAATAGTATAATCACAGAAAAATCTACCACATTTTTTAAAGATTCTATAAATTTATGCCAGTTTGTAGAGTGGATGCTAACTAGAAACAGTGTGCCTTCGACTTGTATCTCTAAGGATTTACCTGAAAGTACATGGTAGTTTGTGTAGTCTGTGTCAATACAATGAAGTGCTGAAGGAAGAAAGCTTTAGATTTTAGTGGAAACCAAAGTTAAATACTTTTTTTTATTTTGAAATATCTTTCCTACTCTTATTTTGGGAGAATTAATTAAACTAAGATAATAAGATTCAGATAAAAATAAATACCAACCAGGATGATAATGTATCTCATTCCTTCTCCTCTTATTCTGTCAACAAATTGAGGAAGGTCATGGAAGTTTTCACCAATTGTGAAGTCTAGTTGCCTTTCCATGTAATTAATGTCTGTATATTGAACATCCTGAAATATATGAGAATAGTAGCAATGGGGTAAGAAATACACAACTGTGAATATATTATAATCCATCATACTTTTGAAAGTTACAGCAGTATGAAAGCTTTAGTCCCTCCTCAGTTAATACTAAAGAGGATTAATCACGGAATGCAATGCTCAAGAAATAAAAATGGCATGTAAAGATGTAAAATAGTCTAAGAACAAGTTTATATGCATATTCTATTTTTTCAAAGTTCATTTAATATATTTGATTTGGAAATAAAAATTCTAAATCAGTATGTTTTTATGTAATTTCCAAAGGAAATAGAAAAACAAAAAAGTAAAAGGCTTTATGGTAGTATGAAACTATGTTAAATGAAAAACTAGAATTTCATAGAGTATACACTTAAACAAATGTTGAACTCTTTCTGGGAACTGTAAAAGTAACATTGAATAATTTCAAATAATTCTAAAATTGGTAAATAAAAAGGGACACCAATTTGTCAAATATTATAACCCCCTTATTTTTAAATAATAGCCCAGCTTAAATAAACATCCATATTGTTTACAGAGAAGTATTTACAAACACATTTAAATAAAACCATTTTAATTTTGTCATGGAATCTTTGATCTTACCCTAAATACCTAATTTGTTAGTTATTTTGTTAATTGACATGAACTTGATTTCTCCTGGTTGTTAAAAAAATATCACTGAGAAGGATAATGTTGAAAACCCTTATTTTATGATGAATTACCATTTGCATATTTCTGTATAATCAAACTATACAATTGATTTCCCTACAATAATGTCCATAGTAGCATTGGATTCTACTGTAAGTACAGTGTCTTATAATGATGTCCTTCATAATTATTCTCAAAATTAGCTCCTATATAATCAGCCTTCTACATTTCAATATTTAAATGTTATCAGGAATATCCCTGGGATTCCATAACCTTGCTAAAAATACAATTATAGAGACTGATACTGTACAATATTTAATTTTCCAAATATTGAGGGAAGAGTGTATTTTACAAAGCCTCACATTCTGTAACATATGAATTTTATCTATTACAAAGCTAAAATCACCCAGCTACTCACTCTAACAAAAGAGAAAACATGAAATTCTTCTATCTATGCAATCAAACCCGGTGCATGGAGAATTGAGTAATACAACATAAGGTCATAGAATTGAGGAGGAATAAGAAAAAATGGTATCATACCTTCTCCTTTATCAATCTGATAAAGATATTATTATTAAAATCTCATATTCAATTCATAAGGTACTACATAAAAATTAAGAATTATTACCAAATGCTTAAAATGTTTTAAAGCATGTAGGTGAAGTGCTTAATTTTTTTATCCCACTGTTATAATTATTATAATACACATAAAATTTATACATTTTACATTTAATAGTGTCTTGAAAATTGGTATACATACATAGGGGACACCAGCAGCCACCATTGCATCATATAATTCCTCAATCTCTGACGTATTTCTGTACCCATAACGACACAGTTGGAATCCTAAAGCCCAATAAGGTGGCATGACTGGTTGGCCAATTACCTTTAAAAGAAAATTGCATGGGTGAACTGAGAGAATTACTTTGTAATATGATAAAACGTTTTCTAAAATAAATACAAAATCATACTTCATGGTATTGCTTTGTGGCAACTTCTGGAGTTGGACCCAAAAACATGTAGAAATCCAAGATCCCTCCAATTATCCGGTAGGTTAGAGCAGGAGTTGGCTGAAAGGTAACATCTGGAAATCCAAAATAATATCCCATTTTTATCTATGATATTAATTTATTAAAAAGTCACACAAACTTTAGGAGAAATCCAACAATTGTTTTACCCATTGCATTGCTGTTGAGTAAGAGAACTCCATGGGCATTGCCTTCATCTTCCAGAGCCATATAATAGGGATGAAATCCATAGGAATTAAATTTATACTGAAATTTTTTAAAAAAGCATAATACATACTTAATAACAATAACATGAATTTAATCAATGCTATTTTAAAATTCATTATAAGATTGAACCTTGGAATTCAATGTTCTTGTTTTACAAAACTTATGATTTAATTAAATAAACATTTCTCTTAGAAAACAACTTCCCTATTCTTTGAACTATTACTGCTTTAGAGAAAGCATACATATTCATATGCATACATGTAGCACCCATAAAAAACTTATGTCTTATAATGATGTAGAATGCTGTTGATATTAGAATAATTGAATTTCTTTCCAGAGGTGATATTTTATTTATAAATTAGCAATAATTTTTGCATAAAAAAATGCCCTAGAAGTGATGAAATTAATCAAACTTTCAAGAAAATGAGTTTGTAAAAAATAAAGTTTTTTGCACTTGTAACACTTTTAATACATTGTTCCACACTTCAATCTCAGTAACTTATTGCCATGAAAAGTCATTTTAAAAAGCAAAAGTTGTTTGAACACCTCAATAAAAACATTTGCAATTATGCACATATTTGCTTCTGTTACTGAATTTATATTTTAGGTACATATATATGTGAAGAATTAAACTGTTTTAGTTTTTATTAACATGGATTTTCTTCATGATATGTTTTAAAAAATTATAAGTCATATATGTCTGTGTGTGTATATATATATATATGTATATATATAACTGATTTTAAAATGCACATATATGTATATATTTTTTTTAATTTAACAATGCCACAGCTATTCATGAAATGTACCATTAACAAGACAGAACCCTGGGGAAAGTTATGAGTTTATAAAAGTATTCTGTAAAGATGTGACTAAAAGTTTAGTCTCAAAAATGCAAAACTTCAGTTGTGGGTTAAAAAGAAAAGTTAGAATCAAATCATTATCTAAGAAGTAACAGTAAACCCTACAAGAAATCTAGGCAGTTAATTTGCAGGAACACTGAATGAACCATGTGTTTTCCGTGCAATTGAAAGTGTTAAGAAATTGGATCACAATCTGGTGTTTTAATGCATGTCGTTATCTATCCTCTACTTTCACCTGTATTTTATGGTGATTTTGTTTATATATTTTTCAAAAAATCATTTTAGCAGATCTAATAATCTCTAGCCTCTTTTTCATTATATACTTCAATCTTGAACAAATAAAAGAATTACAAATAAAAGGATTGAATGCTAAATATGAATTTTGTTGCCTCATGAGATATTCACATGTTGGTACCTACACCAGGGGGTTGGTCTCTTGTGAACATTCCCCAAGTATGCCAGTTCAGATTTCTTTTAAATGCTGTATGTTCCGTTTCCCCAAAACCATATATATATTCTGATGGCAGACGAGTAGATATTTGAATGAACTGGTCATTAAATGCAAATCCAGGCACTCGAGAATCCCAACTGAAAGCAAAAGAAAACAATGTTATTCCTGGAAAAGTCATACAAAGTAGTATCACAAATAATGATAGGAATTCTTTCCTTGGTGATCTAAAAACAAATAATTTTCCCTATGTACCTAATTGTACCAGGTACTAAATGAACATAGATAATTATGCTGACACATTTTTCTTTTGGTTAAGGAGTGTGTGTGAAATATGTTTCACATACCCATATGTGAAATATAAGAAGTATAATGTTGTTGCATGTATTTATCTTTATACAAAAATTATTTTAAAAATAAAATTAATGTCAATTTCAGCAGAAAAACAGATGATGATATCTCCAAGCTGCTTCCTGCTGAAAGGGGGCAAAGTTGGGGGAAGCAACACAAAGTCCTTATTCTCTATCAGGTGAGGCATGGACAGTTAAAGGCATTCAGCTTCAGAGCAGTTCAGAGGTCCACAGTGGCAGATAACAGGTGACTGGACAAGGCACACATAGGGAAGCAATCATGCTAAGCCAATAATAAACAAGACAGCAAAGTATTACATCTTTTTGTAAACAGTTAGCACGAAAGCAATTAATATTTCAGCCAGTCTCTGAAAAACAGCAAGACAGTAACTCATATCAGAGAAAACAGATTGACTTTACCAACATAGGAGGTTAGGAAAATGTATAGGTCTTTTAGATCAGGCTCAAAATTGATTCCGGACAAATTTGTGACTCTAAAGTCCTTTTTGACCATTATTATTAGGCATTTCCACACAGTGGGGAAATGTAACAGTAGTTCACTTTATGCTTTGAATATAGCCCTTGCTGCTGTGCCAGGGCAACTGATTTTTAAAATGGACATGTTTTTTTCTCTTCCTCTCTCCCTGCTCCTCCCTGGTCTCTCCCCCTCCTTAAACTCAGGGGAAACAGAATTACTTTTCTTCCCCTTTTAGGCAGATTTTTCTGTCCTTAAGTACACACCCACCTAAGGAAGGAAGTAATCCAGACTTTGGGGATGATGCCAGAACATCTCAGAAATGACTCTCCCAAATTAACAAGTGAATTACAACTCCAATAGAGAACACCTGGATAATGCAGCCTTGACATCACCTCTTTAAAAGCCCCCTGGTTCCTGCTAAAGGGCAGAATCACAGCTTTTGGGACAGGAATCCCCTGCATTTCTCTTTTGTTAGCAAAGCAATAAATCTTCATTTTCCTTTTTCTCAGAAATTATAATTAAATTAATTTAATGTGAAGTTCAGAGTGATTCAAATACACAATATGATATGGCATGTTATCTTTTTCACCTGGGCTTTGAGATCATCACTATAAATGTTTTTCTACCTATGAAACAAATATAAATCAGTATCACAATAAACTGTAAGCACAATAAATATTTTAATTCTAAATTCTTCTCAATTACTGCTCTCAATTGTTGTTTTATAGTTATTAATATCACTGTGAAAATGTGTTAAAAGAATGTATTATTATTTGGGTTATTTGCAAGAATAGTATAAAGGAGGAGGAAAAAAATTGGCAGGACAAAAACATAAATATTATAAATAACTTGGGACAACTTCAAAGTTTTATATTACTTATTTCGTAAAACTACTTAATAGAAATTAATTTCTTCCAAATAACCATAAATAATGCCCTTTATCAGGATTTTCTTTGAAAAAAATAGTTTCTCATTTTTTTAATAAAACTTTGTCAAAACAAAATAAAAATTAAATAAGTACAGACATGTTTTTTTTCATCATTTGTATTCTGCCAATCATCTAATCTTTAGAGCTTGCAACATATAAAATACATTTTAATACACTATAGTTTGACTAAAATAAAGACAGCATTTCAAAAATAAATTTATTTACTTTGACACAAAAATAAATATATATCTTTTATCTCAGTTTCTGTTCATCAAAACTGGAAGACAAAATATTAACTCTCAGATTTCAGTCCAAGTAAACTTTACCCAGTTCCAATGAAATAATTCTATGACTTATTTTCAATTATTATTTTTACCAACACAACATGCTCTTCAACAGAAGGCTAGATGTTTAAAGGAATAAGTATCATATTTATTAATTAAAATTAATCACATTTACATGCAAATGAAATTTTACACTAGTCCTTTATGATAGTCCTGTAGGTGTACTAATTGTCTAATTTTAAAATTGGCAACTTTTCAATATGACTAAAACTTTTTAATGTGATACTATTCTAGTATGGTGAATGCTATGAAAATAATAATACTACCTTTTCTTTCTTCAAATAAAATTAAAATATCTTTCACATCAAATGATTCAATCACTTACATAACTCTTCCACTGCTTCTCCGTCTAATCTGGATGCCAAAAGGATTTTCCTTGATTTCAACATCATAAAGTCTGTTTTCATAAGTACTTGTTGGAGTGGTTGGAATGTTTAATGGTACTGGAACTTCATATCTCTTATTCTGGGGATCATAAATCTATTGCAGAGAAATAATAAAAGTAGATGTAGCTTATTCTTATTGCTGACACAGCATGCAAATATTATTTACTAATTTAAGTAATTGTCCTAAAAGATTATTTAAAATTATTGTGCATAAAATATATAATTCTAAATCTATGGCCTATTGTATTTACATAGCATTTGAGATGCACAAATATAAATGGGATCCAATTTGAGAATTTGGGGATCTTTTAAAAAATGTTTTTTGAGTCATTTTCTAAAAAAGAAATCAAAAATGAAACTTTTAGAGGTAAATGGTCCATTTTATGAATAAACCATAAAATGTGTATGTCCTTTCACACATAAACAATGCAAACATTTTTTCAATATTTTTGGTCATACATGTAATAAGACAACAAATGTTAATAATAAATTATATTTATTCATGTCGTTATTTTCTCTGTACATTTTTAGGGTCCTTGATAACTATTGGTAAACTGCTTTCTAGAATAATGTAGAAATTAATATTCTCACTGAAACTAGTACTCAAATACTAATATTAAATTATGAGCTTTTTAAACAATTGTTAATTACAGTTATGTGCTGCATAATGACATTTTCATCAATGACAGACCCCATATATGATGATGGTCCCAGAAGATGATATGGCCTAGTGATATTTTTAACTGTGTTGGTTTGTGTTAGCACACTTAAAGAAGTTCACAGGACAGAATCGTTTTACTGTGCATTTCTCAGAATGTGTCCTAATTGTTGAGTGACACTTGACTGTTATTTTCTTGTTCATGGGAATGTTTGTTGTTCAACATTTATTTATGTTTATAAACAAAGTTTTTATGTTTTGCTTTTTAAATTTGACTTGTGTTCTTAAATTTTTAAATTTTAAATTTTTAAAGTATAAATATTTTAATTGTCTTATTTTCAGTTTTTATTTCTCCATTTGTTAAATATCTGTTTATGAGACTTTCTTATTCTTTTCAGTTGCATGAGATGAAATTGTGACCTAAATGTCATATCTTTTTCAGTTATTTACTCATTTTCATCTTCTTTTTATTTTATTTTATTTTATTTTAAAGAGAGAGAGAGAGAGAATTTTTAATATTTATTTATTTTTTTAGTTTTTTCGGCGGACACAACATCTTTGTTTGCATGTGGTGCTGAGATCGAACCCGGGCTGCACGCATGCCAGGTGAGCGTGCTACCGCTTGAGCCACATCCCCAGCCCCTTTTTATTTATTTTAATTTGTTCTTTTTAAATATACATGACAGTAGAGTATAATTTGACATACAGATATGGAGTATGACTTATTCTATTTAGGATCCCATTCTTATGGTTGTACTAGATGTGGAGCTTCACTGGTGGTATATTCATATATGAACATAGAAAAGTTATTTCTGATTCATTCTACTGTCTTTCCTATTCCCATTCCCACTTCCTTTCATTCTCCTTTGTCTAACCCACTGAAATCCTACATCCCCATTTGTTGTGTATTAGCATCCACACATCAGATAGAACATTCAGCCTTTGGAACTTGGGTATTTTGAGATTGGCTTATTTCATTACAGATCCATCCATTTACCTGAAAAGGTGTCTTTTATTTTTTGATGTAAAACCATGATTAAGTTTTATATAAGACATTATGGGATGTCTATGAGATTTGTTCCATGGTAGTTAGTTTGAAAGACCTCTACTAACCACATACAAGATGATATGATGCTACATTTGGTTTTAGGTTTATGCTTAATTTATTTTTCATATGCAACTCAATCTTAATTTTATTTTAAGGGTGTTCTTTGAGGCAAACACTTTTCTACATGAGTAATTAAGTAGGGTAGTTCATCATTACTAATTTTCTCAATCCTTCATTGTTTGGTATTAAAGTTTTGCACTAAGTATATTCATATGTTATACATGCATACTGTATATTGTATACTTTAAGCATATCTTTTATGCTTTTGTACCATAATCTATCAGACAATTTTAGCTCCAGATCCATATTGTTTCAGTTTAGTAACTTTTTAAAACTTTCTTCCTTTTTAAATTTTAACTATTTCTATATGTCTATCATTTCAGATAAACTTAAAGGTTATTGCATGAAGTCTCAAAAATATTCCACAGTTATTTCTATGGAAATACTTTAAAAGCAACAATTGATATAAAGTACACTAACATTTAAAATAAAATTTAGTCCTGTATAGGATTTTTAGTGCTTATTAGTATCTATCAACATTTGTTTTTATTTTACTGACAGTGTACTAATTCCTATGATGTTTGGTGTTTTGACTTGATTTGCTTGGCATTTCGAATATTTTTCTTGATTTTAGTAATAAGATCTACTGTAATTTCAGCTTCTAAATGATGAAACACAGAACTCAAGAAATATATTTTGAAGATTTTATTTTACATCCAGTCACTTTACTGATCTTTCTTATAATTTCCAGTAGTTTTATTAATGGATTTCCTTGGAATTCTTAAAAATATAATTGCTAATTGTAAATATTGAAAGAACTTATTTCTTTTGTATGTTATATTGCATTAGTAAAAATTTCAGACCACTTATTAGGAACTATACTAAGCATCTTGTTTAATTTATTTTAATAAATCTATATTAATATAATACAATGCCAAATGATGTGTCTCTTCAGCATTGAACTTATGTATTTAACAAGAATTTAGTTTTTTTAAAATTACCACTGCTTGTTTTTTTTAATTCCAAAAATTAGCAAAGATGAGAAGCTTTATTTAATGATCATTTACCTACGAGCTGTGTGGAAAAAAATTGTATAGAATCAAAACATCATCAAGCTAATTAATAACCTGTAAAATTACATTCAAAATGCAAATGCTTAATCTACTAAAAATGTCTTATTTCAAGAGCTGAGTCAAGTATTGTAATAGTTTATATTGAACATACCTTAAACTGCAGCATATCATTTTTGTGATATTTCACCTCCACACGCAGAGTTGAAATGGAAACAGATGGTAGCGCTATCTTAGCATTTCCAGTATTCCACTGAAGGTCAGCTGTTATACCCGTTGGTAAATACTGAGTTGAGGTGACTACATAAGGGTTGTATTGTTTAGGAAAGTAACACGGAGGAGCACTGGATAAGGCCTAAAAATACAATGTATGTTTATTGTCAGAAAGTGTAAGCATTGGATCATTTGACTCTTAAAAACATAAGGCATCCTTCTGAGAATGGTAGCTCATAATTGCAATCCCAGTTACTAGGTTGACTGAGGCAGGAGGATGGCAAGTCTAGAGCCAACCTGAACAACTTAACAAGACTATTTCAAAATAAAAATATAAATTAAAATTAAATTTAAAATTGAGCTAGATTTATATTTAATCAAATGCGTGATTTAGAAAGGAAAAGTATAAAACAATCTGAAACACTGGGTTTTATAATTGTTATATAAAATATCATTTGAATCTAAAGGTAGAACAGTAGAATTGAAACACAAACTGTCATAGGTTTGCAATTAAAAAAAAATAGATCTGTTTTCTTTATAAAAATTAAGTATAGTAGTCTCATATTTTGATAACACATTTTTCTTTTTCTTCATTGTGACTTGACTATCGCTTTTTGCATGTAAAAGTGGCTCCAAGCAATAAAAAATAAATAAATTTAGAGCTCACACACACACACACACACACACACACACACATCACACACATGTGACAACCATCACAAGGGTATTTGCTTAGGTTCTCTTGTTCTATTTATAAGGAACCTATTTAACCCTTCTTTGATGACTAGTTCTTAGGCCTTGGTCAATTCTATCTTGACCAGAATTTAAAATAGAAATTACAGTCAAAGCTCAGAGCTGACTGGTTTATAAAGAGGTGGAAGCTAGAACCTAAGGAAGAAAAGTGATAAATTCTGGTACTAAATGGTAGTTGCTTTATCACAAATCCATTCTTCCTATATATCTATTTATTAACTTATTATTTCCAAGTCTCTTTGACAAGAGTTGTGTAAGACCCCAAGGCTCCCTAAAAGAGCATGTTGACCTAAATAGATTAAACTGGGCTAGTCCTTACCTTTCCATGTTTCTTGTTATATATGGAAAGCAAATGTATTGACAGAAGTCATGATGTAACTCTGAGTAAAATCAAGTGGTAAACATAGATATGCCTGAATCATTGATGATGCTAAAATGACAATATATTAGACCTGAGATTCTATAATCATGGTGGGTGTAATTGATCTTAATGATGTACTCATAACTGTATTTCCCAATCCTGTTAACCATTACTCTGGGCTGCATGATGTTTTTCTGTATTCTCTGCCCACTAATACATCTTTCCTTATTCTCATAATCACCTCATGGAAAGGAAAACAATCAGAATGAAATCATGACCAGATATTATATGTGCCCCCTACTGTTAAATAACATGAACAGTTTGGCTTCCATTCAAGGAGAATCTTCTCATATGTATACCCAATTCTGTCTCTCTGCTTAAAAGGACATTTATCCCTCAGTTCTCCACTCTAACAAATGTTATATTTAAATAGGTTATTCTTAATAGTATTAGTTAATTTTATTTCTCTTATTTTAAATTAAAAAAAAAAAACATTACCACACTAACTTCTTCAGCTCTTTTTCGATTTCTCTGTATTCTTTACAGCAAAACATATAAGAATTCATAATATTCACTGTCTTACTATCTGCAATACCTTTCTTGATTTTCACTTACATTTACTGTAGTCAGGATTTTACCCTCAAACAATCCACAAATATTTTGCTTCTCAATGTTATCACTTTCATTCTGCCAAATCCATATGTTGGTTTTCAGTCTTCATATTACTGATTTAGAAAAAATGTTTTGCACAATTGATCTTTTTTTTCTGTCTTACAATGTGTTATTCACTTGCTTTCCAATCCAGCAAATACTTTATTTTCAACTTATTGCTTTTCCTATTGTTTATCAATATCCTTTCTAATTCCTCCTCATTTTCCTTATGAAGTGTAGAAATGAACAAGGGTTTGGTCTTTGAACTCTTCTTTCCTATCTAATCAAGTTCATACCTTAATAATGTTATCTTATTACCTGGTTTTAAATACTGTATATCTGCTACCCTAATTACAGCTGTGTCCATATTACACTACTGGTATTTTTTCTTTTCTTGTTTATCCTCCATAGCACTTACCCGACACATAATTTCCTTATTGTTTGTTTTCCCATATTAGAATACAAACTGTAACATGGCCAGTGGATTTTGTTTAAATTGTTGACCTAGAGCAGTAATTAGAACATAGTAGGTCCCAAAAACATATTTGCTAATGAAGAAACATAATGCTCCAAAGGAAGGATGTATGCATCAATCATCTGGCATCCCATTAAAGCTTCACTTACTTCATACAAGAATCTTCAGATGGTAAAATATTAATTGTTCTTGAAACAGAAAAATTTTCACAATTTTGTTGAGAAGTAGTAAAATTTGCTTTAGAAAATTTTTTCTCACCTTTCTTCAAATTTTGATAATGGAAGAAAGTGAGCATGCTTTGAATGGAATGGGGATGAGAGTATTTGAAAGGATAGCTGGAATTTAAAGGGAACACAGAAGAAATAAAAATATTTCATTCTTTGGCTCTCATGAATCTCAGAATCTCTTCTCCTCACTTGTTTGTTCAATTGTTCCCTATTTTTTCCTAAGTTGAAGATTATGCTCCTTTATCAAGCAACCAAGAAGAATGAAGGCAATTTTTCTGGAAGCGGAAATTCTACTTATTGTCTCATACAAATGCAGACACTCTTGGGAAGTTGCTGACAGATGTGTTTTGATTTCCATGGTATAATATATAAATTCAGTGCCTTGGTTATAGGAAATAACTATTTCTACTGCCAAAACCTGGTGATGTAACCAAAAGGCCAGCATTTTAAAAACACAGCAAAAGGACATGTTTCTCATATCCCTTTTCTGTAGTATTGGTAAAAACACTTCTATACACAACCAACACTATTCAGATGAGAGAATGGCCAAAATAAATGGCTAGATATTATCGTCTCTTAAAAGAACAGAACTTTATCCCATCATACACCTTCATAAGTTTTAATATCTAGAGACAACTCGTTTGAGAGACTGTTCATCAATGGCAAACTAGCTTACCCAGTTAAGCTGGTCTCCTACAGCCAATATCTAACAAAGTGCCACAAATAAAGCACAATTTTATTAAATAAAGTTACACTATTCAAACTGTCTGGAAAGCAATTTAAACACCCATTGAGTCTTGGAATTATTAAGGTAAGTCTTTGAATAATTGATTAATATAAAGTACAGTTTCTGATTTCAAATTCTGCATGATTCTGTGTATGAATCTTATTTATATGCCATGGAATTAAAACTGTAATATGTAAAGTTCACATTGAAATACTTATGTGAAAATCATATCGAGTTAAAATTACCGTTTGCCATAAACAACCACGCTGTATGCACTTTGGTTCAGTTACTTCGTCTGCATCTGGATAACAAGTAAATCTCTCATTTTCAGTGAAAACTTGATTCCATCTAACCATAAAGCTTTTTCCAAGTTTTAAGTTGAGACTTCTAATTAAGAGAATCTTTGAAGACAAAATAAGAAAGATTTTAAATAATTATTTAATTTGACCACGGACAATTAAAAATATTTAACATTTTACAATATGTGACAGCCACGGAAATTCTTCAAAATAAATCGTTAATAGTTTTGCTACAATACTTAAAGAATAGAAGAGAAAGAAGAAAAACATAATGCAATTCCAGTAAGTAAAACTTCCAAGATGGAGTAACTATGAGAGATTGTAGAAAATGGAAGAAATCTATTATCTTTAATTCCAGACATGAGTTCACTTTTCAGTTCTATCATTTAATGCTAATGAGTCTTTGGGAATACTGTATAACTGTAATATCCCCAGATTCTGCTCTTCTAAAAGAGAGTGCAATACAGAACGAATTAGATATGAAATTTAAAGCAACTGGTACAATATCTCAGACATACTAGGTATAAAGTAAATGTACTTTTTCTCAAAGAATATAATGGGGGAAAAAGTTGATCTCTTTTTTAGAAGGAAGCTTCCAGATTCAGAGGACAAATACATATTTCTTCTTAACCTAATTGTATCCAGTACTTAAAATGCATCAGGCACAAGTTGAAAAGGAAGCAATAGAGCACTATACCAAATAGAAAAAAAATGAGAAGGATAGAGAAAGAGACAGGAAAGAAGGAAGGCAAGAAGGGAGGGAGGGAGGGAGAATTCGTGAAGAAAAATAATTTTAAAAAACAAGTGTCTATGGTTCTTTAACAATAAATATGAGAGTATACCACAACTAAAATATTTTGTAAGATGGTTTACCTGGTTGGAAGCATCATAAGTAAAATTGCTGTGAAGAATCACTGGCTGTCCATTTTCTTCCACTTTAACTTCTGTAACAGTATCTGTCAACCCAAGGACTTTAATAGTTTCAAATGCTAAGGTAGTTCCTTCTTGATATGATGCATGTGAGCATACAATATTCAAATTGTTCTGGGGAAAATAAAAGCTTATAATGTCATACAGAGAGTCATCACATACTAACCTGAAATAATGTAAGATATAAAAAAGAAAAAGTTTCAATCATCTACCTCTCCATTCTCACCTCTCCCCAAGCAAGTATCTCTTCGTTTTTCATATACATGACATAAAACTTTATTTTCAGAAACAATCTAAATCTCTCCTGATGCAATTCATATGTGCCCCTCCTAATTTTGGCCCCCACATTTATAAAGAATAACTTAGTTTGGGCAACAAGAATATATAAAGAAAAAGAAATTCAGCCTCTGTAAAAATAATCACTATTAGTTAAATAAAAATTTAACATGGATATAGATTTTTTTCATTCTCCACCAAAATCTGCTTTATTACCACAGTGACTGATATACTAAAACATCTTCAAATATATCAAAATTATTTTCCTAGGACCTGTTGCTTAAAACCCAACATTATACCTAAGAAGCCCAAAGACTTCAGTGCACAAATTTTAGTATGAAAAATCATCTAGTACAATTAAATATAAAATTTCATAATAATAATTTGTTCATGATTTAACAACTTGAATTTAACAATTTAATTTAATGACTATTTCATTGCATTTAGGTAAGATCTTGAGGTAGAATTATTTATTATTATTTTTAAAATAATTCATAATGAAAGAATAACCCATACATTAACAAAATATACATTTAACTATGTATTAAAGGAGAATACTTACATTAGAAACTGAAAATGTATATAATATATAGTTGCCCTTCTCTATGGAGTCTGAAATGGAAAATAATCAAATCTTCAGATTAAAATATAATTAAATTATTTGCTTTTTTTACAGTTATATAAAACAATATTTTAAAAAGTAGATACAATTTATTAATGAAGATTCCTAAACAATTTTGCTTTTATATTGAGTTTCATAATTATCTGTACACAAAATAATCTTAGCATTTTAATTTCCCTGTAAGTTAAGGTGAAGAAAACCTATTTGCCTAATTTTTCAAAGTGCTAATATGTTTCTAGAAAATCATAAAAGATGTATAATCACGTTTATCATTTTAATGATATTTATCTTATTCCCTACCTAGGAAATCACATGTCAAGTTTTTTCTAGAAGACATGGCATACCATAAATTTATTACCTATCTTTTAATTTATTTTTAAATTACTTTCCAGTTTTTAGAGATAAAGACTGAATCTGGAGATATCTTAAGATTGAGATAGACTTTAATCTATAATTTAGTTGACTAACACACATAAATATATTATGGTTTAATTAGATATTAGCACAAAAATGCCTGTTTTTATTTCTACTTTTCTTTTTGGTGTACTAATTCTCCAGTTTGTTGCTGAAAACAAAATTTAAGATACTGAATAATGGGAATAAATTGTAAAACATTCTTACCTCAAGCAATTTGACATTAATTTAAAAATATTTAAATATTGGTTTCCCCTTAAATATCAGTTTCCCTTTTTGTTTACAATTACACAATTTTCAGAACTACAGTCATAATTTAGTTGTGCATATGGAAATTTATTAAAATTTTAATTTCAAAATATTAACATGGCATAGAAAGATATACACAATTGTCAAGAACTAAACAAAAAGCCAATAGATAAAACTAGATATTTCAATTGAATATATATATATATATATATATATATATATATATATATATATGTCAAATAATGTTAATTTCATGGAATAACTAAAAACCATAAAAATAACATAATGAATCCTATTTTTATCAGTACATTCAAAATGCAACATTATCCCACTAAACATTAAAAAACACGTTACCTGGAAACTTACCTTTACTTTCTCCATCATCCCAGAAAAAGTCTCCTTGTGCCATGTTACTTTCATTTAATGCAATAATGAGTCCTAGAGGATTCTTACGGCTGTTGAGTAAAAGTAAGTGTGCATATAAATTTTTAAAAATTTATGTAAGTGAAATATCCTATAAGTAAGTCCATTTCAACCTAATAGTTTTGTAGTTCTTCAGCAACATAAGATCACTGATATTCACAAATTAGTGCCTATGCTAGAAATTTTTCAGTACCAATATTATTATGTGAATGCAGAGATAACTTATTTTCTTAGAAAATATATAAAATAAATAAGTATAATAGTGTGGTAATGAAGTTTTTATGTTATGACATCTGCAAAATTTAAATAGTATAAGGTTTCAAGTGAAATGAAAATAAAATGATGTCTTATCAATGCTCAATTCAACTTGCATCACCCTAAATTGCAGTGTATAAAGTCCACAACTTACACACAAAATAATGAAGACATGATGTCAAAAATTCTAAATATCTTTAATGAAATATCTAACATTAAAATAAAGATAATTGTAACAGGAGTAATGAGACATGTGATCAATAAAAATATTTTCCTTAGTTATATATCTCCACAAATAGCACCCCTGAGGATACAATGTCCAAGTAACTGTTTTATACAGAATATATTCTTTCCAATACACATTTACAAAGGTGGTTTCTCTTGTTCAATACAGCTCAATGACCAATTTTGAGAGCGTGGTCATTAAAGTTACATTATAAGAATAAATAATTCTAGAACACCAAGGTAATTTAATTACTAACATATAGTCATCCTCTCATTAATTTGTTCCTTCAAGTAAGTATATACAGAAAATAGCTTTTGATGGGCCAGGAACTATACAAAATTGGAAAGATAAAATTGAAAAAATTCACATAATTGTTTTCATGGAGTTTATAGTCTACATGCACATACATGGTACACAGAAAAGTAAATAATATACTTTCATATATATAAAATTTTCAGTTATAAAAAATGTAGCAAGGTAAGTCATGGAAGGCGTTGCAGAAAATGGGAAATTAGGTGAATTAAAAGAGACTACTATGCTCTTGGACTCAATACTGCAAAATAAAACACCAGAATCACTAAGTTTCTTATTTTATTCTGAATATAGAAATATTTAACAGTCCTACTAGAAAACTGTTTCTCTATTGTACTTTACCTAAACTGAAATATCTACTTCATTTACCAATGTTTAAAAAAAATATTTAATTATTTGGTCAACAAACTATTGAGCCATCCTATATAATACTGAAGTATGGAGTATTTGGAGATTTTTTTTTATTTGTTTTGTTTTATTGAGACAGGCTCTCCCTAAATAGCTTTGACTGGACTCAAATTCAGAGTTCTATCACCTCAGCCTTCTATAGGCAAATGCTACCGAGTCTGCTCACTTAACAAATTAAAAGTAAAACATTTTAGGAGAAAGAAAAAATTGTTGACAGTGTGTGTTAAAAATCCAAACATGTAAATACTGACACATCTTCAAATTGTATAACAAGAATTAGTATTTTATATTTTTATCAAGAACCAGAGATTATCTTTAATCCTCTATGTTCTAGAGAGAACATGACTAAATATTTGGTAATGAAAAAATATTTAATCCAATAGTGTTAATTTTTTTAATCAAGACATTTGCTTTTATATATAAAAACTAAGTCTTTTTGTAACCATGAAGATTATAGTTAAGCATTACCTCTGTGTGTCAAATATGTTCTGGTGAAAAAAACTAAACATTAATCTCTGATTCTTAAGAAAAATATGAACTCTTAACACAAATTAAATTGCAGATTTCAGCTAGTGACTCATTTTACCTTGCTGTTGTTGTTACTGCTGGTTCTTGGGTAGGGATGATATAACCTCCTCTGAGATGTAACCCTATCTTATCTGCTGGAAGAGGAATATCAACCCGCTGTTTTCTCCATGGCCTTTTTGCACCCTAATATTTTTTAAAAATGGAAGGTCTTTTTATTATCAGTGAAAGGTTTAAATTTCATTCCACATTTTTATTCTGAGCATTCATATCAACCAAATGAATATGATTATATTACTTTCTAATTTTTTAAGAAAATTCTATTCCTTTAGTTTGCTATATAAATCAAAGAAAAAATAAATTTGCTTTCTCTAAAATTCAAAAGATTGATACGGAGAAATTAATTTACTTTGAATGTTAATTAATAATAATTTTAGATAACCCCACTCTACCATTTACTTTAAATTTAATGTGATTCTAGTAATCACAATTTTAAATACTGATCAACAATTTTAGCATCCACATGAGATAGAGAAAACATGTGGTGTTTATCTGGCTTATTTCATTCAACACAATATCCTCCAGTTCCATCCATTTTGCTGCAAATACTAGAGATATCATTTTTTAGGACTGAATAATATACTATTGTGCACATACATACATCCTTTATCCATTTATCTGCTAATAGACATTTAAGTTGATTCCATATCACATGTATTGTGAATAGTATATCAGTAAACATAGAAGTGCAAGTGTGTTCATATAATTTCCTTTGGGATAGATATATCATTTGGTGGATCTATTGTTATTTTTTTAAGAAACCCCCTATATTGTTTTCCGGAGGAAGCGAGGCAGAGAGAGATTAAGTAATAGGTACCAAAGTGCAATTAGAAATAAAAGTTTTACTGTTCTACAATACACTGAGGTGGTAATTTTAGTTCACAATAACCCATTGTATATTTTATGAATAACTAGGAAGAGTTCAAAGTCTCCAAAAACAATTTAGTGATAAGAAAATGAAAAAGCTAATTACTCTGATTTAATCAGATCACAATATTTACATGGATTGACATATTCCATCATACTTCATAAGTATGTACACTTCTTATGTGTGAATTTAAAAAGTTAAATGTTTAAGGAAATTGAAATGCTTACTACACTGATTTGATCTTCACACATTGTGTACTTATGTCAAATTGTTACACCCTATCCCAAATATGTACAATTAAAATAACAATAACAAATTTAAAACATAGGGAAACTGACTGACTTTCACACACAGAAAATAAAGTTAGCATGTATAGTTTCTTCATAAAAATTGTTTTATAAAATTAAAGGCTCTGCTTAGCAAATTAAACAATATACAACAAAATAACTTTGAAAATAAGTACTTCTAAGAGGTATTGCCAAATGAAAATGATTGCGCATGAATGATGTTATGTTGCCTTTACAAGAATAAAATGAAAATATTTCTACAAATGTTTAAATATACCATATAAAAGCAAATGTATAACATTATTTCAGTAATCAAATATAATTAAATATATAAAATAGAAAAGCATTAAAGTAAGCTACTATATCCTAAAAAACTTCTTTTATTCCGTTTTAAATGAATAACAATACCTCCTTAGACTAAATAGAACTTTACATTAAAGCATAGCTCATGTGCAACAGAGTATATTTTCACTATTTTTTACACAGTTCTCAAAATATTCTTTTTATAATAATTACAGAACTCTTAAAAATAGGTATGCCATATATTTGGAGTTAAGTTTCCATGTCTAGATGTTTGAAAATATAATAGTTATTAGCTCAAATGTGTATTAAATTTACTTACAGTTTCGTAGTCATACCAAGTAGCATCAGGTATGAATGCATTCACTGATTCTGCTCCCTAAATTGAAGCAAGACAATATGTACTTTTAATTTTTTAAAATTTTTATCAAATAATACATTGGGCTTTCCATTTTTCAAGAGGAAAAATTTAAATTTCCTCTTTGTTGTCACACACCATTATCTCCTATGGATACTAATCAAAGTGCCATTTTCCTAGCATTACTCATCAAAATGTAAAAAATAAGCAAAATCAAAGAGGCAAAGATGAAATTATTTTAGGTATCAATTAAAATAATGCATGAATGCACTTATACTGCTATAAAGTATGATCATTGTGAATGTAAATATGTTCATTTCTGTATATTTCTCCACAGACACAGAGACATTAAAAGACAGGAACCACCAATTCGCTCCACTATTTTTTGAACACTTTCTTAAGATCAGATAGTTCTCAGATTACCATTTACATACACTTTAACAAAATTTCAACATTTATGTTTATTTAATGAAAAGCTCACTGATATTAATGTTAAACTTGACTTCGATTAAATAAAAAAGCTTTTACAAGAAAATATTAGTTTTATGCAATGCCTGTGCCTTTAATACATATTATATATTTGATAAGCATAGATTTACTTAATATCCTTATAATTTTTAAATGTCTTCTGCACTTTAGTATTCAATTAAACACTTATAATCTTGAAACAGTCCATTGAGTAACATCTATAACCCAGATGCTTCATAATTAAATATGGATTTAATAATACAAAGTTCCCTTTAAGCAATAAATTTATTAAATTTGTAAAACTTACCTGTTTCAAAACAGGAGTGATAAGTAATGCAGGGCCCCATAAAAACTCAGTATCCTCAATCCAGCTGCTTGTATCCTCATAAAACCTAAGAACAACGACAATGTTTAAGATAAAATAATACAAAATAAATATATCCAAATTCCTTGTTTGTTTGATATTTTCAGTTTTCCCTGAGTATCATTATTCATTTTACTTGCTTAGAAGGTGTGATTTTAAACCAATAGTTCCTGCATTATTTATGATTCATCTCACAGTTAAAAGGAAGGGAGAGAATAGGGAGAAATTAAAGAAATTAGTTCTGATATTCAAGAAAAAATCTTCCATAGGTGATATGGCTACTTTGAGTCTGTAATAAATTATTTTTTAATTTCTCCTGTAATTAGCTTTATCAAATACCACAAATCTTTCATATTCTACTCTTTTCCTTTTAAACTTTTTCATCTTAAAACTCCAGTTTTGAAATGTATTTGAAAAGGTCTTTAAGTCATTTCTTGAGGAAAGGTTTATTGTAATCATGTTATACAAGTATAAGCACAATTCACGTTTTTTAAGCATTTTACATTGTAATCTATATTTACATGATTTTACAATGCACACTTGATATACTTTCAGTGATTCTGTGTTTAATCTTACTGATATAATTTCCCTAACATATTATATGTATGTTTTTCTTGTAAGTTTTATTCAGTTGTAACATTTCTATAATTAATGTTGTCCATCCAACAAATTATGTTTAGTAAAATCATTATGTTATTTGTCAAATTATATATATAATTGTAAATATAAGCAAACATAGATTCACTTGATATTGTAATTTATCTCTTCTATTCTTTTCAATGTGTGTCTTAATATATTTTAAAAGATATTTTAATTCTTATACATAGTACTCACTCATGAAGAACTGGTCTTGCTACTGTTTCTCCAAACATATGGGCTTTATAAAACAGAGTATAGAGGAAAGGTAATAAGGTATAGCGAATATTTAAATAGTGTCTTGATGATTTGACCAGAAGCGAATTCTGTCCAAAAAATGCCGGATCCTGATGCTATAGGATAAAAAGGGAAATTAAAATAAGAAAGCTAAAATGTAAATGTATATTGATATAGAAATATTTTCATGTATTTCTGAAACACAAATTATATATATGAGCTTGCTTATAAAAAAGCTAAAATTGTCCTTATTTCGTCATCACAGTGTGTGATAAATATTTCTATTTAGTTGATTATGTATTTAATAAGATTTACATTAGCTATTTCTGATACAAATGTATCAGGGAAGATGACTTTTTTTAAAACAAAACAGGAGTTTCACCTGTTAGTTGTGGTAGAATTAATTATTGGCCTCAATATTTCATTGTACTAACATCCTTGGCCATGTAATTTGTAGTCCCTATCATTGAGCAGGGTGTTCCTACCATCACAAGTTGTTACCATACTTGATGTTGTGCTCAGATCTCTGAAGTAGTTTAGGCCAGTGGGATGACAGTATGTGTGTCATAATCAAGCACAGTATTGAAATGTGCTTGCTTGAGGATCTACTGTCTTGTGATTGTCACTACCATTAGAATACACCCAGGTAGTCCACTCTCCCAGGAATATAGGGAGCAGAGCTACCTGGCCAGTCTGCAGTCTTGAACCTTGAAGTGCAGCATTTCTACTGAGCCCCAACTAACAGTCTAGATTAGCTAACCTCCTTAGGTAACCTGTGGGAAAGCCAGTTTAGATCTCCTTTTAGGAAATTTACTCAAGATAGCAGCCACTGTTTCTCTGGATTTACATTTATGTTTACACGGAAATCCTGTTTCACTTTGGCTGCTCCTAACCATTGAATGTTCATGACAGGAATACTTTGCACACCCTATTCTAGGAGATGTAGGACTCTTTCAGTGGTCAACTTGGCCTTAAACATCCCCATCTGACCTCAATGAAACTGTGAAACTATGTTGCAATCGGTGATTCTCCTTACCAAATCACCTTCTTTCCTGGCCAGCTTCCCTGCTTGAGACCTGATTTGTGGTTTGAAGTCTCCTGCCAGTTGTCCTTCACAAGTATTTCATCAATGAATCCCTAACACATTAATTCTGTCATACCATCTACTTCTTGGAAAACACCAATTAATACAAAGTACAATATAATCCATATCAGGATCTACTATGGACATGAATTGCTCCTGAGTATCTTTTGGGTGAACCACTCACCATCATTGGATGGATTAGGAAGTGGCTAACCTCCAATTTGCCCTTTTAATTCTTTTCCCTCATGCCACCTTTGAAGCCAAAATGAGGAGTTGTCATCTTCTTTTTAAAGAATTAAGTGCAGGCAATAAATGTGTTAATACTGAATAATTCTTAAACAGCACACATTTCATTAACTTAATTGTTTAACTGAACTTTACCCTTCTCTGAAAAAATTATATATATATATATATATAGAACCATGACATGCTGAAATCTGGGCTGGCTGAACAGCTCCACATTTCCTTGTATTGGAGCTACTACTAGTTCAGAACCATGCTATCAAAGTCTTAGTTTTGTTTTTCCCATCCTATTTATTCCGGTTTTATTTATTATGGAATAATTTGGGACTCAAATTTTTTTGCAAAATGTCTTTAATTTTTATCTTTAATGAAACAAAAAATGGAGATTCTTAATAGTATAATTTTTATGAAAACTAAGTTACCTGAAATTTACATTGCCAAAATCAAAGAATCCATACTCGAAAATCTTTGACTCTAACTTAAAATACTAGCAATTTAACACACATTTTTTATGACTGAGGCTTTAATAAAATATTTACATTATAATTATATTTTGCCTCATGATTTCCTTACTTGATTTTTTATATAATAGTTGTATTTGTATGTGTGTATATATGTACATATAAATGTAAATATGGGCATTGAGACAAGAACATCTAACTATTCTTTGCAAATTATTCTGTAATCTTTCAGATCATATCTTCTGTAGACAAATTTAGAACATAATTAGACCTATAGTTGTGGAGAAGAAAAGTCACTTGCCTGATATCCATCAGCATTATGATTTCTAGAAAATGGATAAAATGCTCCAAGTTGCATCCATCTTCTGCAAAGCTCTTCTGTAGTATTAGCCTCAAATCCACAAATATCTGCTCCAACCTAAATAACAAATATATGTATTATTTATAGCATTAAAATTCTCAAATTTTCCAAGAGAATCACATTTTATGCCTAAACTTTACATATTTCTTTTTGAACCTATTTTTCGTTTTTGCTCCATCTTTACCTCTAATACCACATTGTTTTACATACTTTTGTCTCCACTGTCTCTACACATTTTTAGCCTATGTGTTTACTTTTATCAATTTTTGTTTGATAAAATCATTAATTCAATGTGTAAAGATAAAATTATTGTGTTAAAATATTTTGCATCTTAATAAAAATGAAACTATTTAATTTTTATTATTATTATAAGAGTAATTGATAGAATAAAGCCTGTGACTACATATTCATATTGATTTTATGAAATAAATTATTCTAAAGAAAATTGAGTTCCACTCCAATAGACTTGCTTCAAGATGTCTACAGAAAATGCTAATTGAATGTAGTTATTTTCTATTTATAATCATTTATTCATTTTTATATGTAAGTACATTGTACTATATGTACCAATAAATGATATGACATGTCGTTTGCATGTTTATTAACCATATAAATGACATGTTGTATTTTTCATTTTTGGTAAGATTCAACTATATTAATGTTACCCTGGTTCTATTTTTTTTGTTTCAACCAAGAGATTTATTGGGGAGCTGCCAAAATGGGAAGAAAAGGAGGGGCAGAGAGAAAGAGAGCAGAGGAAGAGCAGAGAGAAAGAGAAAGGGTAGAGAGAGGAGAGAAAGAAGAGGAAGAGGGCAGAGAGGAAGAGAGGAAGAGGGCATAGAGCAGAGCTACCCTGGTTCTATTTTGAATGGGATCTCATAACTATGAGAGATAGTCCTATGAAATTGATGTATATATTTCCTTATGAACATATAAAGTACTCTTATTAAGTATTATGTATACATAGATTTATTTTTTCTGGTTTCTTGGAAATATACATTGTTTAATCAGAACTGGCTATAAAAATGTATAAGCATTAGCAGTAAATACATGTCCCTACTGTTTATTTTCTTGATAGTTCTTGATATTTTCAGACTTTTTCATTTCTCAGCTATCTATATGAAAAATATATCACCCAAGTTCTACTTAAATTTTTCTGACTTCTATGGAAATTGAGATCTTTTTCTAATTTTATTGAGTTATATGAGATATTCTTTCTATAGAATTGTCTGCTACACACTTTTTACTATGTTTTCTATTGATCTTATTTTGTATAGATTTACAGTATACTATAATTGCATTTTAATCATTTATTAGTTATATGAATTGAATATATTATTTCCTAGTATAAAGTTTCCTTTGTAAAATATCTGTTGATAAGAAGTTTTAGTTTTATAGTAATCAAATTTATAAACATTTCCTATATGATTTTTGCCCTTTGTGTCCTATTTAAGGTGTAATTCCTATAATATAATGTTATAAATTTATCTCTTTATATTTTTTCCTAAAATAGTTAATATTAAAAGACAAAAGTATTTAATCTATTTGGTATTAATTTTTTATTTTTTAAATTTGTTTTAATTAGTTATACATGACAGTAGAATGCACTTTGGTACATTAAATATAATGGAGTATAATTTTTCATTCTTCTGGTTGTACATGGTGTAGTCATATAGTTATATTTGTATATAGGGTAATGATGTCTGGTTCATTCTACTACAGTGATACAGCCATATCAATGTTTATATCAGCTCAATTCGCAATAGCTAAATTATGGAACCAACCTAGGTGTCCTTCAACAGATGAATCAGTAAAAAATATGATATATATATATCATATATATGTATGATGATATATATCATGATATATATATGATGGAATATTACTCAGACTTAAAGAAGAATGAAATTATGGCATTTGGAGCTGGATAATATCATACTAAGTGAAATCAGCCAATCCATAAAAACCAAAAGCCAAAAGTTTTCTCTGAAATGTGGATGCTAATTCACAATGGAAGGGGGCTAAGAAAGAATAAGAGTTACTTTAGATTAGGTATAGGGGAGTAAAAGGAGTGGGAGAGAATGAGGATAGAAATGGTATTGATTTTTATACACAGTATCAGAAATGGGTTCATTTTATTTTGTTTTCTAAAAGTATGTTAAATTGTTCATATAACTACTTGACAATTTCCTCACAGATCAATGGATAGTACTTGTCATTTAACAAATTTACATATATGCATGTGCTTCTGTCTTATTTTAACATATTAATGCATTTGAACATCCACATCATTGTGGTAAACACCATTGCATTATCGAGTAGGGAATATTTTCATGCACTGAATTTTGATTATAATTTGGGGAAATGCATATCCTTTATATTGTGAATTTATTGTTCATTAATATGGTAGAGCTTAAATTCATTTACTAAGCTGTTCTGGTTATTGTTTCTTAATTTGTACAATCAATAACATTTTGTATTAAAATACATTCTAATATTTTTTTCTTTTTGACAAAACATGCTATAAATGCATGTATTTTATTTAAGTCTTCAATGAACCACCTTTGTATTATAATTTTTGAAATTATTTCTCAAAACACTTTGCTTTAATTGCATTAATATGTCTTATTTTTGTTACATACACCTTTCTTTGGATCACTACTTAATATTAACAAAATCTTTTTGTTTTTAATTAAGTATTTGAGGCTATCATTCTTCTTTTACACTAATATATCTGAAGTAACACAAGATTTGATAAGAAACATAATTAACATTCAGCTATAAGGTTCTTTTTTATTGCTGTTTTTTTTGCATTTCCATTCAGTTTGGTTTTCAGCGCATGAATAATAGGATAATGTGCTTTTTAATTTCCAAGTGCAAGATGGTGGTAGGGGGATCTTTATTGATTGTTCACTTAATTTTTTGGTGCTTGTGTAATTTCTACACATGAAAGAAAGAATAAATACTTCACCAAAATCTCCAAATATACTTAACATGTTTAAATCAAAGGATTCTCTGTGATCTTGAATATCAACATTATATAATATTTTTGCTTGATATAATTAGAGATTGTGTTGAATTTCTTTTATCTTTTTAGGTAAAAGAAGTAGTTTTATTTTCTGTGTGAATCTAAACTGATTATAAAAACTTTTAAATATAATTCTTTTCCATAATTTATATTTATCTTCTGAATTAGTTTCCATAATAAAGTTTTGTTAATTCCATTTTCCATACTGTAATGGTTTGAATGGTAGAGATGTCAAAATTTCAGTTTCTTCATAAATTCCTAAAGAATGAAGACTGAGATTATTCCTGTAATATCCTCTTTAATAATTTTACCAAAAAGCATTAAAGATGCCATTACAAGTTTATGTGCTGGTGCTAAGGATGCAGCTCTGTGACTGAGTATTTGCCTAGCACATACAAATTCCTGGATTCAAGCCAGGCATGGTGGTGCATGCCTGTAATCCCAGCAGTTTAGGAGACAGGAGAATCCGGAGTTCAAAGCCAGTCTCAGCAAAAAAACGAGGCACTAAACAACTCAGTGAGACCCTGTCTCTAAATAAAATACAAAGTAGGGCTGGGGATGTGGCTCAGCAGTGGAATACGCTGAGTTCAGTCCCAGTACCCCCTGTCAAAAATAAGTTCCTGGATTCCATCATCATGACGAAAAATGACAAGAAATCTAATATTTTTTTGGCTTTTATAAATACATATAGCACTGTATTGAGCTGCCTTACCAAAGGTGTTCCAAACAAACTGAACTCCAACATTCCTGTGATAGACCATTCCATTTGTTCCCAAGAAGCAGTATTATCTCCTAACCAATGTGCAGCATGATGTCCAGATCCAGCAAAAGTTGACCGGGTGAGAATGAAGCTTCGCTTATTAGGAAAAACTTTTTCTACAGCTCTTAAAATGAAACAAAATTAATAAGATTTACCTTAAAATAAAACTGATATTTGCTAATTTTAAAACTTTAGTTTCAAATGTAATTTGAATATTCTCTGAGCCAATTCATAATATTTAAGAGCTTTTTCTCAAAAGTTTATATCAATTTTATTAACCTATCAATACTTACTAATTTAAATATATCGTGATCAAATACAGAAGAATATTTTTTAGAAACAATGAGATTTTGAAAGACTTCACTCATTGTTTACCAAATCAAAAGCCCATGGTATCTACTCAATACCTGCATTAGTAATATATTGTTTAAACTCATTGAAATCCTTTCACAAATACAAAGTTTATAATCTGAACTTAAATATAATACTCTTTCTATAGAGTAATGACTAATCATACCTTAGTGTTTACATTTTCAAGTGTTAGCAGGCAGTTATAGCAGAAAAAAAGCTTATGTGTATGTAGCATTTAATTTTTTTATTTTCTAGAAGTTAACTACCAGCAACAACTATTAGCATTATTCATTTTAATCTCTAATGGTGCCTGTTATTGATAGTTTTTTATCAGTGCCAAATTATTGAGAAAAGATAGAAAACTTTAATTTAACATATAAACTTATTCAGGATACCTTAGAAAAAATATGATATTTCCAGATGCTTTTTCCACATTACTGTTTTAATTATTTTGGATTAAATATAGATTTTATTGACTTAAATAATGTAATATATAATACTGTGGTAAGTATAAATACAAAACTAATGCAACACTATGAAAATAGTGTACAAAACATTAACATTATGGTGTGATTTGGGATGAGAAAAGCATGGATTTGAATTAACACTCAATCACAGTTATTTAATTATAAGAGAATTATGAATATATTAAGAATTGAACCTATGTTTTATTGACTACTGCGTTATAGAACCTTATATAATATTTAAACATATGATGATCTGCTTCCTTAGTTTTATATCAAGTAAATTTTTTACTTTATTGCATTTAAAAAGGACTTGGAAAAATACTACTTAGAAATTACACTTTAATTTTGATTGAAACACTTGATTTCAGAAAATAATCAAGGACCTGTTTTAGGAGCACCGTTGGCTCAATTCAATTGCTTAGAAAACAATTATACTGCTGAGAGGCACACGCCTGTAATCCCAGCGGCTCTAGAGGCTGAGGCAGGAGGACTGCAAATTTAAAGCCAACCTCAGCAACTTCGAGGCCCTAAGCAACTCAGTGAGACCCTGTATCTAAATAAAATACAAAATAGGGCTGGAGATGTGGCTCAGTGGTCGAGTGCCCCTGGTACCCCTTTCCCCCACAAAAATAAAAAAAATTATACTTAGAGATGACAAGCTGAATCAAATTATTGAAGAATAATTATATCTGATCAACAAATGATGATGTAATAACAAGGGTCCAATTAAATACATAGACCACATAGTGATGAATAACTAAGGACCAAATTCATGACTATTAGTAATAGAACTGATACTTCTACTGACAAATTTTTAGCATGAAATTATTATTTCCTTTCTTTATTACCCTTGTTATTTTCTAACTATACTGATAAATTACAAAAAAATATTTCTAGACAAATACAAAAAGAGTTTCTGAATGAAATGATACTTACTTCTCTGTGGCTATAGCCATGCTGTATCCATACAGGCTGTGAACATCATATTGTTTCCCCCAGTTTTGCAGAGCATCCATGCAAAGTGTTTTAGAATACATGAGTTTGTCAAGAATATCTTAGAGAAAGCACATAAGAAACATGTCTTAAATTACAAAATACAATGAATTAAAATAAATTATAATTATATCCTTATCCTATACTCTTACTGAGCTTGGAGAAACTATTAGATTTACATTTATCTTGATAAATGCCAGTGAAATAATATTTCCTAACTTAAATAACAAATAAATACATGGAAAAATAGCCATTAATGGGAGTATGAAAGCATATACATCTATATTATGCATCATATACTCATAGACTCATTTTAAATCTCTACAGTAGAAAGTTTATTTAAATATAATCTTACATTATATTTCATATTGATTTCATGTTTTAAAAAATAGATCAAAAATTTTGATTTATAAACATATGCTAGAATTTACCAGTTAACAGAAAAACTATTCTCAATTAAGACTTCTAGTTAACCAAATGAAATTTACCAGGAGTAAAAGGTGGATAATTCAAACTATTCTCACTGCACCCTTCTGTTGAACCTTGAACAAAGCTGGAAACTTCATTCATGTCCTAAAAGGATATAAAAATGAAAATCAGCAGATTTTAAATAATTCTATGTCACACAAGCAAAAATTCTCCAATTAAAAAAAAATACTTTATCAATGGGAACCACAAAGTTCTTTTATCCCTGAGGTACATCCAAGCTACCAACATAAAAATAAGCAGAATTTAAATATCATCTCACAGAAGTATTTTAGCCAGCTTGAGATATTTTAGACACCCAAATGAATTTCACTTAAGTAATTTTCATTGAACATGAAACACATTAATTTAAATGTTAAGTTTTTCACCTTTTTTCTAAATGGTTGTATGAGTGTCTTCTTTGAGTTTCAATCGTTACACACACATTCCTAGCACATTAATTTATTCAACATAATTATGTTTTGGATCACTTTTATTTAGTTTCTATGATATGCTAAGCACATGACTATCAACACTATTTGTGTAGCCCAAGTTCCTGTCTTTGCTCCTGAGAGACTGGAAATGGAAAAAAAAAAATGCAAAAAGTCTTCAGTATTCTAATTCAAATAGTACAACCTCAAGTGAGCTTGATCATATTCTGACAACTCATGACCTAAGCATCTTTATAAAGATTAATTTAAATGTTCCTATATTAACAGTAGTGCTGGAAAAAGGTTTTTTTTTTCCTGATAGCTTCTCCATTTCATCCTCTCCTGCCTTTGAAGATGAATCCCATTCTTTGATTATATAGAAAATGGAGTATTCTTTCTTTCTTTCTACAGCACAAAGTCTCTTTCACTGTTTCTAAATTATCAATTATAATTATTATGGTTCTAATAAACCAAAGTGTTTCATATATAGGAAAAAATCTATAGAATTTTTTAAATTCATAATTTAATAGCTAAAATGAAAAATAAAGGTCAATGTCATAAGATTTTTTAAATTATTACTTTCTGTAGCTAAGTATTGGCAGTATGATTTTGCTGATTTTACGTTAAAAAAAAAGAAAAAAACCAAATACCTCTATTTTCATTCTATCAATAACATCATAGAAATTCAAAGATAATGCTCATTCTTTACTCAATTCCATTTTGTCAGAAAAAACATCTAATTTTTTCCTTATTTGTATTTTTCCCAACATATTTGATATACAGATTGTCCCAAATAAATACTTGCAAAATAAATAATTTTTAAATAAATCAATTTATAATTAAAATATGACTAAATAAGTAATTAGCACTTCAAGGACATAGAAATACTATGGACCTAAAACCCAAAAGGCATATGGTCCAGAATGTCTCTCCAGGGTTTCATTCAGTTGTAATACTTTTGAACAAAGTCAATGTTGTTCTATGTTCAAGCTCATTAAATGTTTTTCCTAAAATATAGAATTTCAGGATCATGGTGGTTTCTTTCACATAATGGAGTTACATTTGCCATAACACAAGGATTAACTATCATCCAATATTTCTTTATACCATAAATATGTTTAGTAGCTAGCTATTTATAGTTATAGAAATAAAACTTCATTCCAAGAAACATCCAAACACTTGTGTTTTCCTTTAATAACTGCACAAGTCATCTAGTATTTTGTTTCTTGTTGTTTCTTGATATGAATCACAACTTACTGCCAATTCTGATTTGTTTTATTCCATGGCTTACTAAAAGTTTCTAAAGAGTAAAGACATTCAGATTGATATTACTTGACTATTGCAGACCTACATTAATGTTTTTGAAATTGCAAATAGGTTTATGAATTTCTACAGGATTATCCTCAATCTGATTAACTTTTTAAAGATAAATTATTAGCTATAAAATTCAACACTTCAATTTAAAAAGTTAAATTTATTCTATAAAGTACATTGCTACAGAAGAAACATCTCAATTTGTATTTCTTGTTGTTCCTCTCTAACCTATGAAGATACCAAATATAATATTTACAGGTTCTAGAAAACATTAAAAGCTTTTACTTTTATGTTGAATATATTAGAAAAATAGAGTTTGTTGCTTTTTTATAGCTAAATTATTCTATGTTCATTGACCAAAATGACACTTTTAGACTACTTACAATCCAAAGTCCATCATAGTTCACTGTTTGATGAAAATCACTGCATTCATTTGCCCACCAATTTATGCAGTTTGGATTAGTGAAATCAGGATATACAGATAATCCTGGCCATACCTACAATGAACACATTATCCACATAAATACATACATAAAAGTACAAATACATAGTGGATTTTTAAATTAATTGAGTTGTGTATTCTAAAATTATTAAAATTTTAATATTGTATATTTTTTAGGCATACACAATATGCTTTCATTATATTCTCAGGCCTATTTCTAGATGTGTTTAAGTAAAAACAGTTAAAAAGAAAAAGAGAGGAATATCATGAGGCATTTAAGAAGGAAAATATAAAAGAACTTTGTATGAGACTGCTACTTTTTTATTTATTTTTATTTATTTTATTCTATTTTTAATATATGACAGAATGCATTAAAATTCATATTAGATATACAGCACAATTTTTCATATCTCTGGTTGTATATAAACTATATTCACACCATTTGTGTCTTCATACATGTACTTAGGATAATGATATCCTTCTCATTTCACCATCTTTTTTACCCCCATGCCCCCTCCCTGCCCCTCCCACCCCTTTGCCATATCTAGAGTTCATCTAATCCTCTTATGCTCCACCTCCCAACCCTAAGGCTGCTACTTTTACTGTAGCTAAATTTATTTCTTAGCCTCCTTGTATATTAGATTAAAAAGTACACACACAAACTATATGTATATATACTACGTGTATATATACATATATAAATACATTCCCATCTGAATAAAACAAAGCACATAGTTCATTTCTACAGAAATTTGCTTCCAAGAAATCCAGGTAAACAATCTCTTTTATATTTATGTCTTATCCACAATGTCACTATGATACTAAATGTATGCTAGGCCACTATTCCAAGCATTAAAGCATTTTTACAATTTTTAACATATAATCTTCATTGCGAATTTAGGAGGTGGGGTAGGTACTACTTTTATCATCACTTTACAAGTAAAGTAACTGCCATATGTGAATTCAGCTTGTGGATGAGAAAAGTTATACACAGCAAAGTTAAGCATGTTGTTCAAAGTTATACTACTAAGAACTGATGTAGCAAGAACTCCAACCAAGGTAATTTTATTCCTTAGTCCATGCTGGTAAACACAAAACATATTATGCTACCTCTTTGTGATTTATGCTCCTCCAAAGTATTTTACATTAATTTACTTATTGCATCCAATAACTGCATTAAGCAAGAAGAATTCAATTTTAAATTAATTGGGATAAATATAGTGTTTATATCCAAATAATCACTACTGACTGGCTGGCTGATGTGGACATAACCAACAGATAAAACTTTTTTTTTTTTTTTTTGCACAAAGGATTGAAATTGGTGGTGCTTTACCACTGAGCTACATTCCCAGCCTTTTTATTTTTTATATTGAGACAGGGTCTTACCAAATTGCTTAGGGCCTCACTAAGTTGCTGTAGTTGGCCCTTAACTTTGACCCACCTGTCTCAGCCTCCTGAGTTGCTCAACAGAATAGATCTCCAAAAATTATATTCCATGAAATATTAATAGGCATCATGTGTAGGAAAACTTGGTTCTAATGGGCTCATAATTATTCAAGGAGATCTTTCTAAAGAAAATTTAACAAATGCACTAAGAAGTGATAGGAGCCAGGCTCAGGGACATACACTGTAATCCCAGCTATTAGGAAGCCTATGGATGGTTGGCAAGTTCAAGGCCAGCGTGGGCAATTTAGGGAGCCCTCTTCTAAAATAAATTTTTCAAAAGGATTGAGGTGGTCCTCAGTGCTAAAGAACCACTGGGTCCAATTCTCTGTACTAAAAAGAAAAGAAAAAACTAGAATATTCTTCATTATAGTAAATAATGCTATTCTAGACACATTTTTAAATTGATATTTTTGTTTCCCATTTTATTTTTTTTTGTTAAGTTACAGAAGTGGAATTGCTTACTTATTTTGTCTAGATATTGTTTTGCTTTTCAACACGTCTTACAAAATTGCCACCAAAAGGATACTTATTTGGGTTAAATACATACATTTGAGAGCTAGGCACATTTCTGCCCTTATTCCTCATTAGTTGTGTGACTTTGAATAAGTAGCTTCACTTTTCTAAAATTTGGTTGCCACATGCAAAGAATTTTAATAATAGATATTTTTTATTGTGTTATAGGTAAATTTTTAAAATTTAATGCTCATTTTATAGGTGCTTAGTATTCAAATTTTGTTTGCAATTATTTTATGTCAAATAGCTGAATAGACCTCTCAGTATTTTTGTGAGAATCTAAATTATACATCATAATTTATTAGTTACAATTTTTGTTTATAGTCTTTAAATGTGATATCTATTTACTTTCTGTATGATGGAACTATTTAAAGATTATTAAAATATATTCTCTGTCTATAATTCCTTACCACAATTAAAATATAAAATCCAAAAATAAAAGCAAACACACACACACAAGCATACAGAAAGATCCTGTTGATTAATAGAAAATAGGAGTCACACAAGAGTAATGGATATCATAACATACCTCTCCAATAATTGGAGTAATTCCATCTGACTTGTTCACCCACACTTTCTGTGCATTTCCTCTCTCATAAGTTTCATATGCTGTTCCATTAGCACGTTTTTCAATAGAAATTGCAGGGTCCTAAAAAGAGAAAGAAGAGACTATAGAAAACCTATTAACCTACAAATACTAAAAATATTCTAATGTATAATTTATCATTACCAAGATAATAACGTATTTCTGCCCATGGTTATGCAAATCTTCAACAAATTCAGGGAGCCCTTTAAAGGCTACTTGATCATAAGTAAAGTCTTTCTTGTCTTCCATATAGTCAATGTCAGTGACTTGTGTATCCTGAAAATTAACACAGAGTGTTTCAATCAATCATACTGAAAGAACAACTAATTACAATCTCTAAAGCCAATAAACTTGTATTATATATATA